AACACTCTGGACAGCCACTGCCATCTATGAGCGACGGCGGCAACCAGAGTGTTGTGTCGACATTTATTTGGTACCGGACACGATCCTGGGGAACCTAGCCCCTAACAGCTCCGCTGTAAAAAAAAAAATCAGCTGATCAGGTCACGACCGATTGTCATCGAGCAAACGATACTGCCGCTGCCTGGAACTTTTTCTTCTTCATTAGTAAACAGGCGGTTACTAATGAAGTAAGCGCCGACCCAGCGTTGGCTGTAGAGCACCGGCTTTGCGATCCGGCCACGCCTTTCACCGAACAGCCGCTTAACCGAAGAAATCGGGGGACTTTCGTTCAAAAACAACTACGAAGGACGCTTCCAGCGAAGCGCCTCGGTTGTTGAATTTCAGGCCTGCATATCAGGGATCTGTTGGGGGCACCTACGGGGTTGTGCGCGGGAGAGGCACTGTGCGAAAGTCGAAAGAAAAAGGTGCGAGGTACGAGGCCAAGGTCGCCTCAAAGGGATCGTTCGGCGCTTTAAAAGCGAATCCTCCATGGCACGATCAGCGAATTAAAACTGCAGTGCCATTTCCACTCCACTTCACACGTTTACATCTTGTGTTATTTATATTTGTTAGCTCAAGCATACGGGGTGAACTTGGTCCAACTTTTGTTAAGAAGTTCGAGGTTCGTCGAAGTTTTTAAATTAGCGTGCTCGAAAGTTCGGAAAATCGTCGAATTTCTTAGCGTATATGTTCGAAAATTGTCGAATTCCATGGCGCGAAAAATCGAAAGTTGGAAAACTATCGAATATGTCTTAGCGCCAAAATTCGAAGTTCGAAAATCGTTCATTTTACGTAATAGGTTCGACATTTAGAAACGTTTTCGAGCCTTCCGAACCCCTTGGTTCGATACTCGAGCCTTAGGTTCGAGAAGAGTTCGCGACATCTCTAGTTCCGGTGCACGCTAAGGTTCCATCGTCATACCCATGAAGACTCGAGATTATAAATACGGCATGCCAGATGAAAGCTTCCAATGTATCCCGACGAATCCGCCGCCTCGGTGAATAATACCCACGGGATCCGACGGCGTATGTGCGTTGCGTCGGTGTACAGGGTTACGCGGGGGAGTCGGCTCCCCGGTGAGCGGTTGGCACGCGGTCGCTTACGTAATAAGCGGGGCGGCGGTCCGTACGGCGTCGTTTGCCGCACTCTATTCAGCCGGAAGAGCAGACGTCCACGCAACACAACAACCTCGCGCGGCAATCGAGACCCCCGCCTCCGCCAAGCACCGCTCTTCTCCGCCACGCAGTTCCACGAAGAGAGACCCCACGTGGGACCCGGTGGGGGTGTCCCACCCAGACTTCGTTCAACAAACTCGGCAGCGGCCGGCGGCAAGAGATGATCACGAGGCCCTCGAAAAAGACACGCGCGCACCATCTGGAGGATCCGGGCGTCCCAGACACACGCAGCTGTTCTAGGCAGTTACGAATTAAAAAAAAAAAAAAACAACAACAACAACAACAACAACGCACTCTTTCTTCAGGCGCACATGTGCACTGTTCTAGTAACGCTGATGCGTGAGGGGTGCTTTGTTTTTCTCACGATGAGTAGTGCACGTGGTACCCACGCGGATATGTTTTAATTTTCATAGTGCATAGAAGCTTGGCATTGCAGTTACTTGCACCGATCATGGGAACTGTCATGGCCTCCGGAGGAAGCTATAGGGAGTATTCACTGGACGCCATATTTGTGGGTGCTGTTTACAGCGCATGCTCAGAACGAGCTCACATCAATAGGCTGCTAAGACCGGCACTCTCGATGGTGCGGAATGCACGTTCCAAAAGAACTGTGGAAGCTCGCCATCAGCACGCGCTCAGCATTCGCGCACACAGCTATGGCCGCCAGTGAATACTCCCTATGGAACTGTAGCCTCTGCACGCGCGACAACCCCACTGGAGCTCTCCGCGAGCCGACCGCGAGATGGCACGAGCCATCTCGAGCAATGGCGCCTGTCGCCTGTGAACTGTTGGTGAACTAGGGTTATGGCGGCTTACAGACATCAACTCACAGTCAACTCGCGGGCTTCCTTTAAAGTACACCAGCGTTCCATGGATGCCCACGTACAAGGACACACGTATGTGCCGCCCTGACGTCATCGGCGGCATACCCGGAATTTCTCGGTGAACGACAGGCACGCCTCGAAGTCCTGTCTGATCGTACGACGTTATCGGATGACGTCACGCCCCGTGGCATCTGCGCGCGTACGCGACATCGGTCGAGGTCGCTCCGCTGCGGCGTCAGCGTTCTGTGGCGCTCGGCGGCGAACAACGACGCGTGGAGGCGCATTTCCCACGGCTGTTTGCCGCCGTTGGACCGCGGGTGCCGCGGGGCGCTGTCGAGATCGGCCAGGCGTGGCCGCCGCCGTCGAGAACTCGGCTGTCGCGCGACTGTCCAACACCACCTAGAAGACAAGGCGAGGCCTATCTCCCCAACAAAACGTCATCTCTAGTGGATCCAAACAGCGCCGCCTAGCTTGCGTCAGCGTCGCCGCCAGCGCGTTTCGCAGCGTCTCACACAACGTACGCGACGCCAGCAGGCGGCGACGCCAAGACGAACGCGTCTGCCGGTTTGCGGCGTTTCTCGTTGAGCTTCGGCATGCTGGCTGCTTGGGGCGGGTCGGGGACCCACTAACGATGACGTCATGTGCAGGCCTTGTCTTTCTAAGTGGTAGTGGACTGTCGCCGTCGGCACGATACCGGACGACGGGAACAAGATACACGGAGTGGCCAGAGTGGCCCACTCCTCACTTCCGCGACTTCCGTTGCACCGCGCGGGTAATCGCGGCCACGTCCCAGGGGCGTTCCCCGCCGCAGATCAACAGATCCCCGGGAGGAACTTATAAAAAGTGAAAACAATCTAAGCGCTCAGTCGACTAGGGCTGGGCCGCAGAGTGGCGACTGTCTCGTGGGGTTAATGAGTGTGCGGCGGAGACTAGTCCACCGTTTCCTGGGTGCTCATGGTGCTTGCCACCGTAGCATGAGGAATGGCGGCGATAACTCTTCGCTTATGCCGAGAGGTTAGAAAGGCGCCGCGGTAGTACCAACGGAACAAGGAAACAGACTAGGCTGTCTACGCGTCGCTGGCGCAGGGGCACACAAGTCTAAGCGTAATAAATCCTCAGACTACAGGCAAGAAATTAAAAACGACACACATACACAACTTGGCTGATATGTGTGTGTGTGTGGGGGGGGGGGGGGGGGGGGGGGGGATGGGACTGGTGTTTTATGTTTTTGCGTTCCTGTTGTAACTGACTCTAGTTTCAACTAAAAAAAAAACAAGAAAAAAGCTCATTGAAAAGACAGTCTGCAAAGACTGTCTGAGGCCTTCCTTGTATGACCGGTCTTCCCATTGGTCATAAAAAAAAAACAAAAAAAAAACTGTCTGCGGACATGTTTTAAGCATACATATGCATGAAGTAAACATGTTTCCAGTGTTGCGGTAAAGTACATAAAAAGAGTACTTGAAGTACGCAGTAAATGGGAGGTTATGTAGTTCCAGTAAAGTAGAAAGTAGTACACCGGGTGGCAATCCCTTTGGAGTACTACAAAAACAATGTACTTCCAAAGTAAAGTACAAATACTTTTTAACACAATCTTTACCTTTCATGGTGCCCTTTTATTCCCCTGTAATCTGTTGTTGTTGCATGCATTGCCCCAGCGGTAATTGGGGGCGGGGGGCATCAGTTATTTTTGGGCAATGGCGGCGAAATTTTGATAATGTACTCTCGCTGGCAAGCCATTTAACAGAATCAACTTATAAAGCACTTATTTTCGAACAGATCATAATTTTGCGATACAAATTTAACAAGGCCAAATTTGCGGAATGTACTTTGAAGTCGGGAGTTATACTTTCCCCGACTTCGGTTTTGTACCACAGTCTACAAAGTGATCTTGATGTAATTATGCTTTCCTGTTTACTGTGTTCCCCACTTTCCCCTGTGCGACTGGCTAGCAGGCGCATCGCGTACGAGTTCCCACCTATCTGCTCAGCCTAGCACGTCACCCAGGGTAGTTCAAATTTTTATGTGCAAATAAATATTATTATAGACACCTTATGCTTTGTATGATGTACTACCAGCGGTGTGACTTCAGTTTTACGTTTGTGCACAAGTTCTATGTGCTCCCGAGGCCCTGACCCGCGCATTCACAACAGATCCGCCGGTGTGTTGTAGACCACGTGACACCAGGCATTTCTCGGTTGGGGGACGTTGGTGCGGTTGCAGCGAGGGCGCCAATGCAATCGCGGCTCGATCGAACGTGTCGGCCACGATAACGCTGCGAGGTCATCGAATCGCTTCGTCGAGCGAAACAAAAGCTCCCGGCACCGTGGCAGCCCCAAATGGTCTGCAGCGCTACGCCAAGCTCAGCCTAATCGGTCACTGGACGCTAGCTCGAATCAGCTGGACGCGGAACGGTGGCTATTCTGCCGCCGCTGGCCCGTCAACGGTACATCGCGATGACCCATACCTGCTCCGCTATGAAACAAGCGAGCAAGATTTTCTCGTGGGCGGTCCTTTTTTGCTGTTTTCTTTTTGGGTTCAATCGGCATAACGTCGCAGAGCACGTGACTCGGTAGTTAGGGGTGCTTCAGGAGGCGAACGTGGGAAAGAAAAAGGCCCTCAGGTTCGTAGCTTACGTGAGAGCTAGATCGTTTTCGAATAAAAATAAAAATAAGGATGAGACAACATCGTGACACATGCACGAACATAAACTGGCAACACGAAAAGTGCGCGCGCGCGCGTGTATGGCTAATTCCGTGTTGCTCGTGATGCACCGCGCGTTCAGGCGGAAGTCACCGAGACACCGAGAAAGCTGGAGGGGGCAAAAGCGAACTTTCGCGACATTCTAGCCGTTTTGTCACACGCATGTTTCGGGCCAGGCTTACGTGACAATGCGTGTGCCAGGAGCCATGCTGCGGCGGCGCGGTCGCGGGATGCGGGGAATACGAGGTGCACGGGTTCTCACCATGGTGTAAACTCCGATACAGACGCCGGCGGCGAACAGTTCGCAGCAGCCGGCAGAGTTCATCACCGCCATGCTTCACGAGCATCAATGATGGCTCGCGTCGGGACACCAGCCACACGGGACACCCACGGATCGGCCAGCGATCTGCCGTACTCGCCGGCGGTGGCTCGGATTCCGAGCATATCCTGCGTACTCCATGGCGAGCCTCCGCGCTGGCACGCCGCGCGTCAACGACACGGCACTGTGGAAGCGGCCGAGAACGACGCCGTCAGAGAGGGCTCTCGCCGACGAGACATTGGGCGTAGGGTGGGGATTCCGGCGACGATTTGACGCGGAGTCGGATTTCACACAGAGGAGCCACAGGTAGACGCAGGGAGCCACAGGTGTTTGTTGCACTACGTGAGAAAGCGGACGGAGGGGGAGGGAGAGAGCGCGGCCAGCGGCCCACGGAGTTTCCGAATAACGCCGACAGGGGGAAGAACACTAACCTAGGGAGTTTTACTAGGGACATTCCAGGGAATGTCCGGAGGGCGTTGTTTGCTTCGTTCTACCGAGTTTTGTCGGTCTTGTTGACCCTTTTATTGTATAACATACCACTACGGCCGCTTATGCGAGGAGCCGTGACACCAGGCTGCTCGCCATTCAGGGTTGGAGTGCATTTATTTCGCTTCCGGTATTTTGCCCGAAAATAAAAAAAAAAAAAAAAAATCTCCAGAAAGCTCCTGCTGGATTTGCAGATTCCCTCCCCTGTGAAGGCATTGGGCCTTTCAATCGTGGCTCTCAACACAACAAAATAAAATATTTATTTGCACTACACGAGCGCTGTCGTGAAGTGCGCGCGAGGCGGAAGCAATTCTCTTGGCGTCCAAGTTCCGGAAGCGCAAACTACGGGACATTGAATGCGAACCCGACAGCGAGAGTGGATGTACCAAATAAACACGAACCAATACACCCGTATTTATGGAGATTGCACATTTTGCTTCGTAAACTAGCTTTATAGTGGGCGACGGCCTCAAGAGTTTATTCGCTTTTTACTTCGAAAGGGTACCGTGCATCTGTATTTACCTCTTGGGTTAGAATTGAAAGGGTCCCGAAGCAAACAGTGACGACCGACTCTGGCCCACTGAAAAAGACCAACGGGGGACAATTACCAGAGCTCCGATTTGGTCGCAAATCGTGAGACAGCCTCCCGTGAGTCACGACCGACGTCCGCCAGATTCGCGGTAGTTGTGGCCCAGTTTCGCGAGACTTCCTCCTCCCCGCAGCGGCCCCCTAGGGAACAATGTCCCTAGATCCTTTCTGCACTTTCTGTTTCTACACGCGGAGGATGGCTCCAGCTGTGCTACGCGCTGGATTTACGTCGCGCGAAGCAGACAAGAGACACGCGTCGTAATGTACACTTTTTTTTATTAGTCACCTCCTCAGTTGTCACTGGACTCGACATTCACCGTCTGGAGCTCTGCAAACAGAAGAAACACCAAAGTTAAGAAAATCTAGTAAGGCTCCCACTTGCCCTCTCTCAGTGCCCCGAAGCCACGGGAATGACGTGCCTAATACACATTTGGCTAAATTCAATGATGGAAGCGGCATTCGACCTTTTCTAGCAGTTTCTGCAGCAGGCAAAACATTGATTTGGAGCAGATGCAAACACCAGTTAGCACATCAATTGAAAAAAAAAAAAAAAAAAGTGATTGCATTGCTAAATGAGTTCACCTGAACTGAAGGTTCCTTTTTGATACTGTAGCATATTACTTATCACCTTTTGCGATGGGAATATATAAGACGACAAAGGAACACGGAGCATTCTTTCTAGAAATGAGGCTCTAGTAAAAGAAGGTTTCATTTACAATGGGTACTAAAAAGTTTATGAAACATGAATCGTAGCGAAACACTTCAGCTAGGATGGCTCCTCCCCCCCCCCCCCCCCCCGCCCCCCCGCACTGACACCCGTAAATTATTTAGACTGTATATGCAAATTCTGTAAAGAGTTTGCAAAAACCAGCTCAACTATCAATAAAAAAGCATCTCCCAAGTTTTATGAACCTACCAAACTCAAGACTTTAATACTATTAACTGCTAAAACAACCACCCCCAAATATTATGGAAATCTACACCTGTGCACGTGACACTGCTCCTCAGTGGCGTTGGAACCAGAGTGATGTCCAAGTTCGCTGTACTACTTTCCATCAACAGCTGCAGGGAAACAACCTTGACTACCATTTAATCAAATAAATATTGACCCACATTTTTTTCTTGACATTTTTAATTTTAAAAATAAACTTAGCACCAAGGCAAAAAAAAAAAAAAAAGTAGGTCTGGAATAGTATTGAGCATAATTACTAAGCCCATCGCGCTAACCCAGGTGTGCACCCATGTTTCTGATGAAAAGAGGTGAGCTCGACACGCGCGCAAACACCAAAGACTCCGGTTCTGTCTTATCACAGAAGCCGCCCTCCTACAATTTGCGATGTTTTTTTCACAACTTTTCGCTCCTCACATCTCAACATCCTCCAGAAATCTAGACAGTGTCTGCGATCAACCTGCTAGCGCATCAATCAACCAGCGCGGTTGACGAGTGACCAATACTTTGTGTTACTTTAATTTAAAGCGCAACCGTTGCTACAAGCAACGGCTGAGCAATGGGACCAACCCGTGTCAATGGCATTCGTCCATCTTCCTGCGCATGGTCTTGCATGGACTAAACAAATCAAGTGCAGCGAATGTCCCGTGACTTGGGCTTTTAGTATGTGTGCGGTTGTGTTTCGAGCGTTTGACTGCACTCTGACCCAAGATAAAACAAACCATGAGGTAAGTAGAGATGCTCTGAAATACTTTTGTACCATTTTCCTTTCCTCCTACTTCTCTAGAGTCAACCAATAATACTTCCTTTGCTTTGCCCATATTCGTAAAGGTGCAGCGCAATTCTTAGCAACAATGTCATTTTGGTAAAAATATGTAGCAGACTTTCGTTTATGGCAAACTTCGGCGCAGCGCTTCCCTCACTGTAAATTACCCAAACACCGAGGGGCCTACTGCCAGGGTAGCTGCAAGTGCTGGCTGCTCTAAAGCATACATCTAAAACAAATGACACTTGTGCTTACGTCAAAGCCTTTTTCATTGTTTACTTCGATTTCTTTTAATGCAGGGAAGGCAAGCGCATGTACCTACATTCCCAGCATTCTTCTTGATGCTTGGGTAATTTAGCAAAAGGTCTACTGCTGCAACAAGCCAAAGCTGCCTCAGCCTGCTGATGACAGGGACGAGATGCCAAGACAGGTGATGGGAGGTGTTAACATTCAAAGTCGCGTTATGATTCCCAGTTTCGACCTCAAAGCGCAAAAGCAGAGACCACACAAACATCTTCCCTGATCAGCTCATCCGGAAGCAGTGAAGCCTGTCCCACCCAAACTTTGTATGCCATACCCCTTTGGCTGCCAGCATCAGCCTTTTTTTAAAACGGCCCCACAGCAGTGTTGCAATTAAGAAAATTGAGGAAGAAAAAAAAATCACGACCATTCACAGGCTGCCTAATAGAAGGGGGTGTAAGAACTTACGAAGAATTCTATCGCAAATATTTTATTTAATAAAAAAAAAAAACTATGTTATGATAAGGTCTCTTCCTGCTTGCAAAACATTTGCGTTACTTCAAACTTGAATACTAGTAAAATATTTAAAGGTAAAAAAAAAAGGGATAATAACTGTTTTTGCAGAGTCCCTGTAATGCTGAACAAACACTGAAAACATGTATATTAACGAAAGTTTTAGCTAAAGTGGGAGCTTTCCAGCATTGTTAACAAACATAGAGGACTCTACTGACCGGATTTCAAGCTGAACTCGGGAGGAGCAAACAGTCAAGACTGCATTTCTCACGGGAGCAAAAATATTTCCTATATTTTACGAGCATCTAAATAAAAGGGAAACTGAAGAGGTTTCTAAAATCGTCTAGTTATGGCGATAACTCAACCTACAAACTACATACTACCAAAAAAAAAGAAAGAAAGAAAAATATTAGATTAATAATTGTCCAAATTTTACCATTAAAACAGGATCAAAGACACACTGGAGTTTTTCCATGTTTTGGTGCAAAGACCATAGAGCACCATTGGATGTGCGACAGCCAATCGCAAGCAATCGCTTCCCGAGCACAAATGCCACACATTTAGAACATTTGTCCGTCATTGGCCGGCCCCCTTGTTGCACACAAAGCGATTGCTCGCGATTGACTGTCGCACGTCCGATGGTGCCCTCTGGTTTCTACGCCAAATTTAAGAAAAACAGGCATGTCGCAAGATCCCATTTTTAATAGGGAAATCGGACACAAACAAATCAAATCTTCAGATTTAAAAGTGCCCCCTTAAGTCTCCCCTCAAGCCATGTTTTTCCCCCCCAACACGGGGAATTTCCACGATTCGGCAGTGCCGCGTGATTCTACGCGCGGAGCTCTCGCATCACCCAGAAAGAATAGAGAGGTCAGACGGGACATTCCAAGACAGCTACCGAAAGAAGACAAGAGGGGAGGGACGCACTTTTGAAGGACTCCACGGGCACGTAGGTGACCAGGGTGTACAGCTGGTTGGGAGAGTCCTCGTCCTCGTTGCGGCGGCGGGCCAGCCTCACCCGCACGCGGAAGGGCACGTTCCTGCAGAATGAGCACAATTAGCCACAATGGGCTAGAGGACGCGGAACAGATCGGTTATCAGCCTACACCCCCAGGGGACGTGGAAACCAAACAGATCAGTACCAGCCTACACGTGCAGAAACACTTCTGGTACAATGATTCCGTTTCCGAGTGGGGCAGCACCGCCCCACTCGGGGTAGTTTTGCAACACGAGCAGCATCGTTTTTGTTACCGCTCCGTCGCAGGAACTGCAACTCAAACACGCAGAAAAGCATCGCTGCCCGATTGGCACCGAAGCACCATAGAGTACCCACTGCAGCAGTTAGAAGAGTCTGCCGAAGCGTAGGCACCTACGAGAAAGACTGCGCATCTACCCCAAGAAAAGCTAAGTACCATATTTACGCAAATATTAGTAGAGCTCATTTCCCAAGATCGGCAGCTGAAAAGCACGGGGCCGATTAATATGCGGGTGGGCATATTATAAGCGTCCACGGTGAGTGGCAGACCTCGTCTTCCAACTCTGCAGGATGAGGCTAATTGACATTGCATCTGCTGTGATTGGGAAGCTGACAGGTGCACTGGACGTCTCCACAATTATGCTGCGCACCGCAAATCAGAAGCACCTGAAAATAATGGATGCAGCACAATGCTGTTTTAGTATGGTGCCTCTGACTGGTGTGTTTAGCGCCGTTGTGAAAGGCCCCGGGAGACAGTTTTCACCCGCCCAGTCCGACCACCACAGGTGCACAGCCTTGAGCGTGGTCGCCTGGTGGTTCTGAGCCTTGCCAGAGGCAAGGGATGATGTGGCCTTTAACGAAGGATTAGCTTGAGTTGACCGACACCAGTGTCAACTCGAGAGGCCATTACCAACCGGCCCCTCTCCTGCTGCTTCTTTCTGGACATCATGCACCGCATTGGGACACTCCTGAACAAAGGAAGGAGCTTTTTGCCCTTTTCCCAGCAAAAGAAGCGTTTATAAAACGCTTCTCGCTGGGAAAACTCTTTGTCACCAATAGTTTTCCAACAATAGTTGGAAAACTCTATTGTCACCTAAACAAAAAAAAAAAAAAAAAAGAACACACTGCTAGTCAAACTTTCCTGTCATGAAAGCAGTCTCAAATCAAGGTATGCATATTTTTTCAGCATCAAATAAGTGGCAAGATTGACTTCCACTAATTATGACCAACCATCAAACCACTTGTAGGGTCACCTTGCCAGTGCAGGCCTACAGGCACCCATGACACAGTGTTGGACAAAATACTCGATAAAAGTATTTCAGTTTAGCTATTGATACTTGCTTCATAAAGTATTTAAAATACTACTCAAGTTACTTTCACTGTAAAGTATCTTGAGTAGAGCACAAATATTAGAAAAGTAATTAAATTGCTTTTGAAGATACTTCCGCATTGCGTAATTTGTGTCGACGCCAGTGACATACAGCTGCGCAAATCTGATTTTACCAGAATGGTTTATTAGTACGCAACACCACAAAATTGCAAAAAAAAAAAAAAAACATTGTGGGGTTATTCTATGCAGTTTAACTATAAGGAGCAGGATATCACTGATACATGTTACAAAACATTTCTGGGTAAAAAAAAAAAGTAATTTCAGCTATAATGACATCATTGAATATCACAGATCGTTTAACTACAATCCATATTCCCTATATGGGGAGTTGACTATAAACGAGCTCGGGATACGTAAATGAGTGAATGGATAACAAAGAGTCCACATAATAGCCACAGCACTGGCCGTGCCTTCTTCAAGAAGGTTGCGTTCAGAAAGGCAATCAATCTTGGGAGATGCTTTGTTGGCATTTTGAGAGGTCATCCTGATTGTAGTATGTTTTCTGTCGTGTCCTCTGTTTATCAATGTTCGCTTACCGACAGTGTTCGCAAAAACAATAAATGCAACTGAAAAAAAAAAAATTTTTTTTCTTGTAGCAAAGTACAGGGATACAAACAAAAAAAAAGTATTCTTTTCGTGCGCATTTCTCATTTTCTTCTCTGTTATTTTCTTGGCACTGAAGTCTGCATTGCTGTTGTGGGTTGTTTCGCGTTCGATGTTGCACCTCAGTGTGGCAATCTTTACTTTCATTAAACCACCCCTTTTGTTTGAGGATTTTTTGGGAGAAATTCTGGGAAAGAAAAGGCGCCTTTGGGAAGACAATGGGAAAACCTTCACTGTACGAACTTCGGGGTGCAATATGGGTCACAATCGGCACAAAAGCGATATTTTCATGAGCTCAATCTAAGTCACCCTAGCTTACCTGAGCTAGCAACAGGGTCTCGTAGCTCGAAACAATGTTCCCGTTTGCTCGTGCCACGCCCATGCCAATTCACAACGAAAAACTCGGAAAATAGCGGAATGTCAAAAATGTATTTGAGATAATGAGAACAAGATACTCAGAAATGTAATCAAAACACCGTATCAAATACTCTCGATCAAAAGTATTTCCAAGATACCAAGATGCTTCAAAAAGTATTTGAAATACAGTATCTTGATTAGAGTATTTGAGATAGGCACAAGTCTGCTACGGCATAACAGAGGCAGGGGTACCATGCCTCGACAGACATGTAGGCGAGACTACGGTTGCATGTGAAAAGACTGTCAACTGACTCAAACCAAAACCCTGTCCTCAGCTACTCTGCTTCGCAGAACTCATTGCTTAAAGGGACACTGACGCCCCCAAAAAAATTTTTTTTATTTTTTGCCAGGCACTTCATTATGGTGTCGGAGGACTACCCAATTAATATTTTGCAACAGAGAAGCGTATTTTTTTAATAAAGCCAAAAGACGCAACTGCTCGAAACCGAAACCGAAACCCGACGGAGGTCGGAGAAGTGGAGAGAAGGGAGTGAGTGGCGGAAGTCACGTGGCTACACCCGACCGTGCGTTTTTTAGTTTCTTTTTTCTCCTCTCCGTAGCAGACGACACGACACGCGGCGAGCAATGCGGCTTGCGGGAACTGCTCGCCGTGCGATCCTTTTGCAGTTATGTTTGTTCCGCTCGTTGTTCTGTACTCCAAGATGAGTTGTTTTGTACATTGAGGAGTTGGAGATGAGTAGTGAGTGCCCGTGGTGAATTTCCGTGATCGGCTCCGAAAAGAATACACCCAAGATGTTGCGTGAAGAGCTGGCTCACATGTCCTGCATCCGTAAAAAAGGGGCATTGTGCGACAGAGTTTCCGAAAGATCAACGGGATCGGGACCAATGGCTGGCTGCAATTCCTGTAGAACATATACGGGCACCTCGGAAAGCGGACGCTACCTGATTTATATGCTCCTTGCATTTTGTGGAAAGTGATTACATCGAGTTCGCAGATGTCGAAACGGAAATCCCATACCATTTAACTCAGCAAAGTATCGTCCACAACATTTGTTTGTTATTTCTTTGTTTGTTTCTTCAGTGATGATTGTAAAAAAAGAAAAAGATATTTAAACATAGGAAAATGTTTGAAAAAAAAAAAAATAAAGTTTCACGAGGGATCGAACCCACTCCTACCGCGTGCGAACCGGATATCTTTCCCACTGAGCTACTGGGGCATCTCGTTAGTGGTGGATCTCTTTCCTTAGTAATAATTCAGCCGGTAAACTGTAAGTTGGAAAGCTTGCTGTCGATTTTTCTCTAGCAAAAGCACTCCCCGGTCGAAGTCGGGAAGCAACACGCTTTGGGGACATTCGCACCTAGTAAAGAAATCGCACGCGTGCATATTCAACTCAAAGTAGACACGTCGTGCTTGACGTTTGCGCGAGCGATGTCGTCAGCCACGAGAAGGGAGCGACGGCTCGGCGACGTCTTCGTGCAAATCGGCTTGGTGGCCGGGCGTGTCGTACGGGATGAATACCAATTCTTTTGATCAGTCCCAAATTTCTCTTTTTAACGGTAGACAGAATTCGCCGGTACCGCGAACGACAGTTCTGAAATAGAGGTCCCACGCCCGTCGTCCGCTGCCATCGCCGTCCCCGCAAGTCCCACGATACGCGAAACGACGAACGCACAGAATGCTTCCGGTTGTCTGTGGAACTTTTTTTTTTCAATCAACATATTTACAGCTTTTTAGAAGCCACAAAAAATGGGTTTCATATTTGTTTCTGTTTTTAATATTGAGTGTGTGACTTCAGTGACCCACGACTTTGAATAAATTTGGTGGTCGCATCGATACCTTAGAAAACGGCCCGTGACCGCGAAAAAGAGAGTGAGCGAGACTCGAACCGGCCAGTTCTTGACCGGCGGTTTTTGGGCGGAAAGAAACCGAATTTCGAGCCGCAAATTGTGTTCTGGGTAGTTGAGCTCTCATATATCACGTACAACTAAAAACCTCGGCGAGCATAAATACCCTGTCAGTGTCCCTTTAAGAACATAATGCCTGCCCCCATCCCCCTTGAGAAGTCAAATTTGGTGGTTTCACATGCCAAACCAACAAAGGGAATCGGCACGCCCCAGTGAAGGACAGAGGATCAATGCTGGCCCCTAGTGATCTTAAACGTGCAACCAAAATCTGTCACACGGCGTCTTCTCCGCAATGAGCCTCCGTCCGATTGCAGGCACCTCGGCTGGGATTCGAATTCACCATTTTGGAATCTGCAGGCCAGCGCTTCATCTCGGTGATATAACATGCAGAGTCACATCCCGGAAAGATTGTTGCACTAGGGGGGGAGGCAACAGAGTGCCTCAAGCATTCAGAAGAGCGTGTGCACAGACGTTAAATCCCAAAGTCCGTGCATTGCTGGGGCGTTCGGGTAGTTATCGTCTGGACTGTATACACTGATGTGGCACCGCCCAAGAGGGTGTCCCGGGAAACACAGTGATCAGTGCCCCCGGGTGTCTCAGGTGCGTAGGGGAAATGTTAAAAATTTTTTGGGCACATTGACCCCCCTCGTAATATATATTTAGGGTTCAGATTTTTTGGTTTAAACTGATAAAAACCAATAAAAGTATGTCAAATTCATTTTATAAAATTCAGTTATAACCGGAAAAGGTCACTTTGACCTTCCCGTCGTACCGCAGAGCCGGGGCGAAAAAGTGGAGTAGTAGATTGAGGTTTTATGGCGCAAAAGCAACTAAGGCTACGACAGTGTCTATCGAAACGTGTACGAATGTATGGGATACACGGGTGCCATCACAATGTTTTGGTTTAATGTGCGCATCATCGATTGGAACGTGAAGTCCGAAATGCCCGCCATGTACGAGCGTGTTTTCAAACTTCTTGTAAGGAAGACTGACTTAATGCAAGCTCTGCATGTTGTGTTGTGCTTCAAAACGTCACACCGTGTCTCTTTTGGCGCTCGCGTTTGGTTGATTGGCCGATTTTGGCTCGGGCAGCGCTTCATCTCTTCGGCCTGCCAGTGTCAGCGTTGAGAGGGCATTTTTGAAGTTCAGTGTCATATTAACAGGAAAGAAAGTGTGCGCAGATCAACGAGGAGAATTTGAGAAAGTATATGTGTGTGTACTATAATAAGATCACGTAATCCTGATATACAGAAGGAGAAGTTCCATGATCTTGGGCATAGGTTTCATATCTGACTTGTTTGTTCTTCTGTTTTCTGTTCTTGTTTCGTTTACAGTTCCACACATTTGCCATATAAAGTGTCCGTTTATTTTTCAATGTATCTGTGCCGTTATTCTTTGAGCGATCAATATTATCAGAGCTACAACGATAATCTGATCCGGTGTCCGTTGGTGTTTATTTTATATTCACTGAAAAAAGCTTGCAAAACAAAGTGTCCATTCATTGTTCAATGTATCTGTGCTGTTATTCTTTGAGTGATCAAGAATATCAGAGCTACAACAATAATCTGATACGGTGTCCGTTGGTGTTTATTTTATACTCACTGAAAAAAGCCAATAAACTTTTGCAAACATAAATATACGCCGAAAATTTGAATTTTTGAAATAAACGCCGAAGTACGCCAAATTTTAAATAGAAACCGAAAATGTGAAGCCTATATATATTTGCCACTCTCAAGGCATTCTTCTAACATATTATCGTGGCTCATACTATAGTCATTAGATCATTTGTAAAAATACTTAAGCACCAAGGAGCGTGCTGACTTTGCAGTTACATGCACTGCACATGCTGGCATCTGCAGCAGTGATTTCTTAAAAGTAAAACCAATTGCACTTTGGAGATGAATTCCCCAATGCCTTGTTTTTGTCATTTACTTCAATGTTACTTTTAAACAGGCATTTACAGCATGTGGAACTACTACTAGACTCCACCTCCGCACAACTAGGCAAGGAGTGAATGCTACGGCTTCTCCGGCCAAACGGGAGCCATGGAACAGCTCTCCACAAAAGTGTGCTACAACAGTACACTGTCACATGCCTTGCTGGGTCCATCGATTTTTTTTTATATCAATACTGCAGCCTTTTTAGGGCCAAAGCCGGAATGGATGATGCACGAAAAACGTTTTTCACTTAATTAGAAAAAACGCACACTCTCTCCTACCACACAGAACCGTAAGTGTTCCAACGCCTGACAAAGCAATGTCCCTTGATATTAAAGATACCGTTTGCCAAGGTATGCGGGAACAGAGTGGAGCAGTGGTTCTCAACCACCAATGCTCTGGGGACCTCATCTGGATTGGTGGAAGTGATTGGAGGGAGGGAAGGAGGGAGGGAGGGAGGGAGGGGGGGGGGGGGGCCTTTAACTGGGAGGAAGGGGGACAAATAGAAAAGAGTAAATGAAGAAAACTAAATAAATGCTTGCAAACCAAGTTTGATGCTCCAAAATAGGGAATAATCAACCCTACTCACTCGGCACACATGGTTTGGTCTATTTAGCTTCTTGAGACGGGCTTCACTGACGATCAAGGGCTCAGGGGACACCAAGGTCTTCAGGGCCCCAAAGGGGCGGCGGACCCCCATTTTAGAACCAATGAAGCAGAGTATAACATGCTCCTTGGAGCTTGAGGATTTTACAAACGGTGGCTTTTAGCTGCCGTGGCAGCCTGAAAAATGTGCGCCAATGCTTGAGGCAGGATTGAAATGTTGGAAAACAGGTCTGACTTCAAGTCGCTTTTTTACACACAGAGATTTGAACAGTAATGTGAGGCACCAATCACTTTAAGTATCATGCTTGAGGCAGTACTACAGGATTCAAAAGTTGGAGAAGTGGTTCTACTTCAAGTTGCTTCTTTACAGAATTGAACAGCAATGTGACGCACCATTTACTTTAAAGGGGCGGTGCAACAATTTGCGGACTTTGGCTAATTAATTGCGGGAATTGATCCCGGCCACATATAAAACGAAGGACCGAAAACTATTCTTTCCTGCTTGCCCTAGTTTTCATTAAAAAAAATAAAAGAAATTGGTATCTCTGGCACCCCTCAACTCAACATTGAAGCGGCACCAGCTTCGCCTGTGACGTCATTCGGAGTGGCGTTGGTTTCCGGTTGGGTGCTTCTGGCTTCCGTTTCCCCAGCGCTCGCCGGCTCGCCAGGCTCGCCGCTCTCCCGCCGATTTCCGACCAACATGGCGGCATGGGCGGACGGCCTGAACAACGTCGAGCGCAAGATGCTTGCGACGCGGCGGGCAGTCGAAGTCGAGACACCAGGAACAGTAACGATACCACGATACTACAGACCACGACCAACGCACTCCGTCGAGCGAGGGAAAGACAAAACGTCCGGGTTGCTGGTGTAGCCGCCGTAGGCGCCTCGGGCGTTGACGGATGACGGCGATGGCAGGTTTTGTTGACTTGCGGTAGATGGCGCCACAAATAATTCATACCCTTTTAGCGGCAATATTAGGCTTTTGAAGCGTTTCTGCATGCCTAAACAACAAGATTTTTTAAACTTAACCTTAAATCAAGCTTACCATTGCCTAACACTATCACTTACAAAAACCACTCCGAATGACGTCACACCACAGGTTCCATTTGCGGCCACCATGTGGCCGCAGGTTGGGAAAAAACGCGTTTTTTATTTTACGATTACGCAGCGAAATATAGGTATTTTGGGGTATGGTGGCACTTTTTCTCTTACTTATGCCGAAGTAAACAATATAAAAAATACAAGCTGCACATTCGTTCAGTGTTAAAATCATTGCACCGCCCCTTTAAGTACCACAAAATACCTACCTAGGATGGTTATGCAGACAACTAGTCCATGAACCTACCTGTAGCAATATCATAGCTAATATAATTTCACACAAAAAAAGAGCAAAAAAAAAAAAAAAACATGGTCGATTACAGCAACTTTGACTGGTGCACCGATGTCAAGCAGACAATATAACAATATAGCCAGTGTATCTTGGAGAAGCTAACCTGATTCCTTTGGACCAGATATACTTGTTTAGCCTGGTGTCTATCCGCACGTCGGAAGTGCCCATCTGCTTCTCGGCGAACTTCTTGATCTCCTTGATGGCACGGGGAGCCCGCCGCTTGAAGCCGACGCCATGCAGCCTCTTGTGCAGGTGGATCGAGTATTCCCGGGTGACCACCTCGTTCAGTGTTGACTTGCCACGCTTCTCACGCTTGCCCTCGCCTTTGATTTTCGCCATCTCTGGAAAAAGAAAACTTTCTGCGACGACTTGCAAAGAGCCCGACACGAACACCTTTCGGGGATGCCTCAGGCACGGCCAACATCGGAGGCCAAAAATACTTCGAACGACTAATATTGACTGGTAATACACCTTGTGGCATCATCTCTACTGTTCAGTGTTTACCTTGCAATGGGTAGTTAACGTAATTAATAGCGTATTTCACAGGATTTAGATTGGATTAGAAAACCCAGCACTCACCGTTGTTTCGGCTGAAGATGTCAAGCCGGAAAAGGAAAGGTCCAGCGTTGGCGGGCTGCAGAATCGGCGCCGCCGCTTTTGGCCTCCGCCAACTTTTCACAACTTTACATGCGCTAAAACTCAAATATGTAACAAAGTAAGTATTATTGCTCATATCTATTTTATATTATGTAGTGTTTATATTTTTAGTAACATTAGTCGTTTGTATTCTTCAGCAGGCGGAAAGTTTACATACGTGTTTTAGCGGGTTATCTAGTTTATGGTCTGACAACGTTTTCCAGTACGACTGTATTTTGTAGCAGCCGCAATGCCGTAGTTCCTGTTGATCGGCCAGGAAAGCGAAGAAGCAAGTGAAGGAATCGCTGAAAAAAAAGATGTGCGGATACTTTTACCGTTTGTACGGCTCCCGCTTATCCTACGGCCGCACGGAGTAAAACATCAGCGGCAACAACACGTACAAGCAATGTGCGGAAGGCGTCAGCCCGCCGATGACGTTTCTGACCGCGGCCTGTACTCTGTGGGTAAACAAATCTCCAGGTGAGCCTTTTTAAAACTGCTCCGTGACAGCATTGGGCCGATCGGTTTTCAAAATCAATCCCAACGGATCGTGATCCACCGGACACGTCAACGATGTTGTCTTTGGCAGATGCAGCTTGATGTGATCGCTGTCCTCCGGCCCAGATGTCGACGAACGCGCTCGCTGCCTGCTTGCAGCAGGCCAATGTAAGTCTTTCTTCGATTTCTTTTTTTTTTTTTTCCGCCGTCGATCAGAAAGTGATTTGGGATCGTTCTCGCAGCACCTGATCCAGACGGCGAGGCAGCAGCCGGGCAAACTGTGCCGCGACCAGCGCAAAGAGAAATGGTGAGTCGCCCCGATCACCTGCCCAAGTTTGCCTACGTCCATCTCTGTCCGCTGCGACTTAGCACGGCGTCTTCTTCGATCCCAGCCCGTCGTTGCAGCAGAGGCTCACCGACCTCTTCCTGTCGGAGTGCAGTTTCAACCCACGGAATAAGGTAAGGGGGCATCGTCTAATTGCAGGATTCTTCGTCAAACCGATTGCAACCTCATTCGTTTCAGTTTAGTAGGAATAGGAATCTTTGACACTCAGCTGAGACGCTGATAAAAAATAGCCGCAGTGGTGCTTTCCAAACTATGATCTTTCTAGAGTCGTAGCGAACAGCAGTGAAACAGCAGATGGTCCAGAGACTTACAAACAGCAACGACGGGGATCATAAACAACTGTCTGCTAATCCACCCATTTCCGGTTTGAGGGTTTTTCAGTATGAGGCTGCGTGGGTGTTGCATGAGCGATAACATACATTATCCTTAAATAAGGACGCTTGATCCTCTTAGCTGTATTGAGCTACGGTGACCTAGATTTAGCTCTCGAGACATCGCTTTTGTGCCTGTTCTGGCTTATCTTTCACCCTCAAGTTAGCGCAAAGAAGCTTCTCCCCTCTCCTTCCTACTGGCATCTTTTCTTCCCTCAAGTTTCCTACCCGGAAATCTTCAAACAAACTCTCCGACAGAGGGCGCCACCTCCGCTAAAAGAAAAGAACAACAGTGGAAACGATTGCACAATAAAAATACTGCCCAGCCGACCGCAAAAACAAATTCAAGACGGCTGCTTCGGGCGTCGCTTGCCTTCCTGATGCAGAGCCTGTACAGCGGTTCCCACCTCCTCAGCAAGCTTGTCTCCAAAGAGAAGCTCAACTGCCTGGTGCTGAACCTGTACCCGGGCAACGAGGGCTACTCCCTCATGCTCAAGACCAGGACAGGCACTGAGACAGAGACCGTGCGGCTGCCCTACGAGGTGAGGAGTGTCCCTGGGGGTAGTAGTTCCCATCCTAATGCCTTCTGCACTCTCTCTTTCTCTCCAGGAAGATGAGTTGCTACGCTACATCGACAATGAGGAGGTGAGTCTGCTAGCCGGTAAACTGTCGGTGTTGTCGGGCAAAGGGTCAGGTTGCTTTACCCGGCGACATTCAAACAAAGAATGGTAGAATTTAGCAGATAAAGTGAGGTCTGTTCCGAGACATAGAGTCAGGTGTAGTTTCTCTCAAAGGCATGCTTTTGTGGTCGCCCACAGTTAGCGAAACTCCAATGCAACTACACTTCACCTAAGGGTATGCAGATAAGAACAGAAAGACATGATTCTGGGGTCACCCACAGTTAGTGAAACTCCAATGCAACTACACTTCTCCTAAGGGTATGCAGATAAGAACAGATACCTCTTGTGATGGGATCTAGTGATTCGGATGATAGTTTTATTTGAGGCCACCGTTACAGGATGGCACAACCTTGTTCCACAGTTGAAGTTGTGGGGACGTCAGTGGCTGGGTGTGTGAACGCACTGCAGCTCTGAGCACGTAAAGCGAAAGTTTGTGCTGCAGAACCCAGGGATCGTGGGTTCAATTCCCATCTGGACGAGCATCATACAGGCATGCGGTTCTGTATCACTACTGAGTGATGCAAGGTAAAGACCTCAGGCTAGCGGTGGTACTGCACTGACTGAATTCTCAATTACAGCAAATAAACTAGACAACCACTGATGCTAAGGCTAACTTCCCGCGGTCTAAACAAACATACAACACAATTAAATGCTCGACCGTTGCACACTTGGTTTTGATGTTTGCACACTGGTTTTGTTTTACGTTATTGAACCTTACGTTAAAGGCACACTTCACATACTATCTGAACAAAGTAGTAAAAGAACCGACGAGGCTAAACAAGCTCCCATACTGTTCTGCCCGTTGCAGCTTGCTCCAGTTCTGGTGGACCTTCTGGAGCGATCTCAGGTGAGTGCGATGATCCACGGTGGTGTCGCGGGACGGGCGTCGCGAGGGTGCCACGCTGCGCAGGCCCCGGTGTTCTACAGCGGCTGCGTGATAGTCGAGGTGCGCGACCACCGAAGGTGTTCGTCGAGCCTGGGCACCCACGCCTGCCACCACGTGCTCCTGAAGCCCACCACCCAGGTAAGACGACCAACACCAGGTATGTGGACACGACTCCGAATAATCTGTGGCACCTGGTGTCAACTCACACATACACCTCCAATTTGTGTAAAAGTAAATTTTTTTCCACCTGAAATGGGACACAACTTGTGCCCTCTAGGCAACCGGCGTGTGATCTCGCAAGTACTGCAAGATCTTCGGCTTCAGTTATAAAGGCAGACTGGATGCATTTCCAGGGCAAGCCAATTGGTGGTGCCAGTGTGTTCCCTCGTCATAAGCAGTCCGTCAAACGCAGTCAATCACAATCGGACACAAATGTGCGAACCAGCCTCGAGGGTGCACGTCGTCTTGTGGCTGCCCTGTGCAGTCGGTGCTGTGCGACGTGGGCCTGCTGGTGTGCCAGGACGGCCAGGGCTGGAGCCTGGAGGACCGGGTGTCCCTGGAGGCGGCCCTCGTGCTGGCCACCTCCGAGCCCCTGTGCCTCGAGCCGTCCGTCGGCGTGGCCGTGCTCTCCAACTGGATGCAGCACCGCAAGGGGCGCCTCAGCTCGCACGCCGTGCACAGGTCGGCCGACACTGCCCCACTGGAGCATTCTTCTCCAGTTCGATATCCATAATTTTGTTTTGCACCAGTCCGAGCGCATTTGACACTATGATCCGACGGGACGGCGTTTCTCGGCCACCGATGATTAGGGGCCCCTTTCTGGATAGGCGAAGTGATGGGAGGGTGTATTAAATGATTACATTAACAAAAGAAAAATCAAAGAAAACTAAACGCGCGCGAGCTCGAAGCTCTGAAATGGAGATTAATCGACCGTTACTCACTTGGCACTCATGATTCGGTCTCTGTTTGTGGGACAGCCAGCATCCGTAATAAAATAATGTTTTTATTGCTCGGCTTGACCAACGGTTGAGGGCATCGGGGACCATAAGAAGGCCTTCGGGGGCCCCCATTTGAGAACCACTGCGGTGGGGCCAATCACGCGGCGCCAAAAGCGCATCGTCACGGCGCCCGTCGTCTTTGTGCGTCTGTTGTCACCGACTAAACTAATAGCACGCGGACAAAATGCGCAGGATTATGGGCAATTCACCGAATGCAATGGTCACGACGAGCGTCATGACGATGCACTTTTGGTGCCGCTTAATTGGGTTGGACTTAGTGTGAAACAGAGTAAAGTAATGACGTGCAGGTCATTTCTTGCAAACTCGCAGTTGTGGAAGATTCCCATGCTCCCAGCGAAACTTGCGTGCATATATCCTAGCCATTGTCAGAAGCTCCACGACCGCCGGTGCCTCGCGTGTGCCGAGGTGCACGGCGGCCAAGCATGTTGGCATGCTACCGCTCGGAGCGCTTTAAGTGAACACTCGCGTTTCCGAGCCCAGCGATCCTAGATTTGATTCCTGCCCCTGTCCTCTCGCATCTCAGCTAGGGCATTACCAGCATGCGATTGTGCATCGCTCCCGCGTGATGCACATTAAATACTCCAGGCTATGGTCACTGAGAGAAAGGGGCACTGGCAGCTCAAAATCAACATTTTTTTTTATTGTACCCGACGACTGAAAACCATGCCGAGACATCCCCATCAAAATTTGAAGCTAGGAAAGTATGTATTTGTAAAGAAATAAAAAAATATCTAAATGCCAAATTCGCAGCTCTCTCGCATGGCAGTGACGTCAAGACCATAGCCGTGCTCTCCTTACTTTTTTCTCCCGTCTCAGGACCGGAAGTACCCTGTTCTTCCCCCTCTCCGCAATCCTCTCGAAGATCACGCGCGCGCAGCTCTTTTGCGCCGAGTTGATCGGGGGTTCTAGCGGTTACCGTGCGCCGCCATGTTGCGAGAATGGATAAAAGGCGAGGAGACGGCAAGGGGCAACGGCCCATGTTGTCACTGATGCTTGTGGGTTCCACTTTTTTAAATTTCGAAAGAAAAGATGTAGGGCATTTGCAATTGCATCAAAAAGTATGATTCACGAATGCCGTTATTGAATGTTGTAGAAATGTACCTAGCTTACAAAGTTTCTAAATATCTGTGCCTACTACGTCATCGCCAAAGAAGCGAGGAGATTCCAGTGGGAGAGGAAAACACCAAAAATTAAAATGCCGCACAGAGGGTTTGGGAAATTTTTTTTTTTGCTGTGCAACCTTTTTTGGAGCGTTTACGAAAGCATTGTGAATCGTTGTAGACCACAAAGAAAAATGGCTTATTACGCTTATACTTCTCCATTCACGATTTGTCCTTCGGCATTCTTATCGGCTAGTGCCACAACCTCATTGGTTTCGGAGCAGTAATGAGATGCTCAAAACTTGCCATGCCTTATGTATCTTAAGCTTTTAGTGACATCAACACACTGTTTAGTACCAAGCCCACATGTTTTTCACACCAGGTGTGGGCACTAGGCTTGCGTAGAAACCAGGTTCGCATGAGATGAAACGTCGGCGCATGCAAAGTGCCGACAGCAGCGCGACCGCGATGCCGTGATGTCGGTGGGCTGCGCTGGTGTATAACAGTCATGTATAACAACGATGTATAACAACAATTTCTCGTCTACACTGGCAGGCCAACCTTACGCTTAACGAAACAAAAAACACAGCACGCAAGGCAAGGACTGGTAGAAAAACTACACAGGACAAGTGCCATACTCCTACAAGTCCTTGTCTTTTGCGTCGCGTTTCTTAAAGCAATATTTTTACCGGTGACACTTTGTAGGGATTTCGGTGTCGGCGTTTGTTGTCTGTCGTCGCTGCGGATGTGGAAAACTCCTTCTCTCCCCTCATGACACGAGGAAAGAGAAGTTGGGTGTTCTCATTGGCTGCACTGCGCGAAGAGAGGAGAGCCCCTACGACCCGCCAATAACGGTGCGACACGATGAAGTGTCGTCTGCTAACAATAACTTCAACAAGGGCATATTCAAACAATACTCGCGTTATACGAAATCCCACCTTTGCAGTATCCAGTTGCCACACGTAACGTTATAGGGCTTTAGAAACTTCCACCACATTCGATTTCACTATAACATCTCTACTTCTTGAACACAACTCGAAACACAAAATGTGTTCTGCCAGAACTAGTCGCCTTGCACCCTCTTCCCCATAGAGCTTTGCCTCGTTTTTCTGAATGCATCCATCCCCCTCTCCGCTCATTGCCGAACGTCAGCATTAACCCCTATCCTCACCTCTCATCAACACCGGAAAAACATGCGCCTTCGCTTGGGTCGGCGCAGGTTTTCACTTCAATGTGCGAAGAAGTAAGAACGATAGCTCTGGCACCTTTGTGCAGTGTGGGCAAAATGGTGTCGTGTAGCATATTCAGGGTGCTCAGGTATGTGCCGACACCATCTTGCCCACATTGTGCGAACGTGCTAAAGCTATCGCTTTAACTTCTTTGCACATTGTGGGTGAAAACGGCACCCTTTATTCATTATCCGTAACCAACTAGCCTGCCTGTTGATTTTAAGTAGTCCTCACGCTGCCTGAACATTATTGTCCGATTTGCTCATTTTTTCACTCCTCCCACAGTGTAGCAAAAGCAGTTGAATGTTCAGCTTTCGTTGGTCCTGTCCCTCGCTGACAGGATGGCCCGGCGGCAGGGCCAGGTGGCGCTAAACCGGCGCCGCAAGCTGGAGCGGTGCGCCGCCCCGGCCTGCCTGAGGGCGCACGACTTCATCAGCCAGTACCGCAAGAGGGTGCCTCTCAGGGCCACTGCGTCCTCTTCAAACAAGCAGGTAGGACGCACAAACCGCATTTTCGGGGCTCCCTGCGAATACCGTCTGCTGCAAGTTAAGAATAGCGGGACAAGTTCCTCCCACAAAGCTCTCTGCTTGCTGTGGTTTGTGGTTTCCTCATTCCAGCATTAGCTCTGCTAAAGTGGAAAGAGTGCAGGGCTTTGTTGGTGGAACTTAGTCCTCTTTTCTTATTCTGAAACAGACCAAGGTGAGTGCCTCTCCCGGGTGGCTTTGCCCTCATGCGGTGGTCACTTATGGGGTTTGCCGGAGGAGGCTACATTGCCGCATTCGTGTCCGGCCACGTACAGTGGCCTCGGCTGCCCGTCGAGATTTTCATGTATTGCTCTGCCTCTAACGAATGCTTGACTTAGGTTACTTTATACTGCAAGCGTGTGGCATTGCGTGTCTTCTCTCGTTTCAGGCGGACGTCTGGAAACAGAAGAGGGCCACCATGCCGGTGCCGCAAAAGATCGAGGTGGGTGCCTCTCCCCCCGGGAGTTCTCGGCACCTTTGTCGGTCCAACTTTAGAGTTTTCTTAAAGTATGTTACTGCTAAGCGCCCAGCTTTGCTAAGGATCCCGCAGATTCGCTCGCACGCTAGTCCTCGGATCACCCAATCCATGGTGGAGCAACCCGTTTTTTTACGCGCCTTTAAATGTAAACATCTTCGACAGAGATCCATCCGGTTAGGAATAAACTAACCAAGACCCAAAACTCTGGCCAAAGTTTTACGCTCCACTCTATATCCACCATTTCAGAGGCCTCTTATGCGTGATGCTAGTGTATTCATCCAAAGCACGTGTATGGTACCACTTTCGAGACAACGCTTCCTAGACGCAACAGTTCGTCGGGCTCTCGCGCACCGACCATTCTCGACCTGCCCAGGTGGAGAGGCTGGCGAGCGTGCGGGAGCGCCCCGAGCCCACGTCGGACCCGACGCCCGTGGTGGTGCAAGAGTACCTGCTGGAGACCGAGCAGGCATCGGGCAAGCTCACCCAGGTCACCATCCTGCAGAGGCCCACCGACGAGCAGTTCTTCGGCAAGCTCTATGTCGACCGCGACGGCCACAGCCGGGGCACCAGCTGCGAGTGCGTACCCCCTCTTCCCCGCGCACTCCTCCGACAAACCAATAACAACGGCGGGGACGAGTTTCGGTCGTCCCGCCTCCGGAGCGAGCTTCCCACCCTCTATGGTGCTTCGGCGTCTCGTGATCCTCGAGCCGGCATGCGCGGCGGAAGGCACCGAGCGCGTGCCGGATGCCGAACATCGGAAAGAAACGCCCTGCCGTTCCCATTGACATTGCAAACTTCATGTATGTGTGCTCCAAACCAGTCCAAGGGCAGCGCATCTACCAGGGCACTAATGCTAACGCATTAATAAATATATATATGGCAGCAAAAGTGGTAAGATTGCTGCGACCCAAATTGGTGGACATGCAAATTGGACATGCACATATTGCAGTAGTTCGACTGCCTATCTGAAAATTTATGCGCAGTGTTTATTTTTAAGCTTGGTCAGTGACTACATTCCATTCACCCTTCAGTTTACAGGGCAACAAAAACTACAGGTACAAGATTGCAGTTTTGGAACGTGCTTTCCGTAACCAGTGCACACCCTATAAAGGCACGTTTCAGAGGCATACTCGCCCTTGTCGCCTTTGTTGTTACGTGAACGAAGTATGGTGTTGCATGCGACTTCTACAAAATCAGAATGCTTGTTTTAATGTGGCACGATACGTGAAAAGAGTGTGAAGATTGTTTTTCTTTCCCCCCCTTTTCCTACAGGTTCAATCTTGGCAGTCAAGATAATGTGAACAGGTCAGTCTCATTTGACCGATGGTCAATCAATAGGCTGCCTTGTAGTTGGTTGTGTTTGCCAACGAGGGATGTGATTTAGGAGCATTAGGCGTGCCAAAAAAATTATAGTCAGCTGACAACTTGACAAGCACAGGGCAGAGCACATCCTGAGCATCTTATTATTACTCTTCAGCCAATGGGATCGTGGCATTAGCCAATGTTGACGAACGAAGTAAGGAGCATGAGCCCTGCATTTCTTTACTTGTCAGTCAGGTTAAAAAGGTGTCCACCTTAGCATATTTGATGGGCTTTACAGCGATCCAGGTTTGGACCTTCGAAATGGGAGGACACTGTTTTTCGACCACTGCTAATTGTGGGGAGCTATTATTTATTTATTTATTTATTTATTTCAAATACTGCCAACCCTTGCGGGTTATAGCAGGAGTGGATACAGTAATATATCAAACAAAATACAGGTGACACAAGAAATTATACATAGAACAATCATTCTCACAGGTGCAACTACTCGTCAGTAAACCAGTTCATCAACTTTTCTTCAAATTCTTCAACAGACGTGACGTCCGAAAAAACACTTGGGGGTAATCTGTTCCATTCTTCTATTGTTTTCACAAGAAACGAATATTTAAAAATGTCAATATTGGGCATAAATGGGTCAACTGACCATTCATTGTTTAGTCGTCGAGACCGTCTTCCAGGAGATCTGATATAAGTTTGCGTGTCAATACGAAGATATTTAAAATACAACAAATAAAAAAACTTCAGCCGCGCAATTCTTCGTCTTGACGCTAAGGACGATAATTGGGCTTCCCTCAACAATGCCGAAACAGACTCATGTCTATCGTATTTAGAAAAGATAAACCTGGCTGCTAGCCTTTGAATGCGCTCCACTTTATCTATTTGAGTTTGTGCGTAGGGGTCCCATATTATCGATGCATACTCCAATGTCGGGCGCACTAGAGTTTTATAAACGTTGGCACGGATATCGGAGTTCGTCCCTCTTAGAGATCGCCTCATAAAGCTAAACACTTTTCAAACATTATATTGTAGCAGAAAAGTGAGAAGTGGTTTTCTCCAAGGAAGACGGTTATAGGTCGAATTCCACCTCGCAAACATTCGACGCAGTATACCTCTCGTATCATAGATTGTGTTTTAGAACCCTGCTCTGAATTTTGAAAAACATTTGCCGTTGGCAAGTGCCGACGGTGTGCACGTATCAGGACTATGCTCCATCTCACCATACCTTGGCAAACAGCAAAGGCTACGGCTACGGGTGCTCCGCCCATCCCCGGGGTTACATGATTATCTCCAAATTGTGAATGTGTGCTTGCTCGGGATTTTACGATACAGGGGGTATTCACTGGGTGCCATATTTGAGGGCTATGTTTAGAGCGCACGTTCAGAACGAGCTCACATTAACAGCCTGCTAAGACCGGCAATCTTGATGCTGCGGAATGCATGTTGCAAAAGAACTGTGGAAGCTCGCCATGAGCACGCGCTCAGCAGCCAGGCGCACAAATATGGCCACTAGTGAATGCCTGCTATACTCTACCTCGCTAGTTGCATGCAGTGCCGTCAAAGCCATGGGTATGGGAGAGAGGTCGGCCACTTTTGTATGAATATTGAGTGGCGAGCTAATCTCCTAGGGGAAGAAAAGCGACATCTGGGACAGACTAAAGAAGGTTCAAGTAAGAGGGGAGTTCCTCTTTCCCCTCTTCTCAAACTTTTTAGGATACGCTCTTGCCCCAGTACCATTGATAATGGCAGTCACATGCTTCGCCTCAATCGTTCCGACTCGCTCGAAGGGGCCTTAGCGTATGCTCTAGGCCAAGTTGCGTTAGAATGAAGTCTAAAGACGTGCCAATCACGGAGGCCCCGGTTGAGAAGGTTGAGATGTCGCCCCCTTGCAGATACCTGAACCAGTTCCGGGAGATCTTCACAGAGGAGGGGCGCAAGCCGGTCAAGATCACCCATCTGGTGCCCGGTCAGGCCCCCGTCGTGAAGCACACCCATGGTGCGCCGCCACCTGACCTGCCCTGCGAGGCCACGGACGCACCGCAGCAGCAAGCCCCCAAAGTTGCACACAGGTCAAACCACGCCCCTGTCATGCCGCTTTCATTCTTTTGGTTTCTGCTGGTGGGCATACTTAATTCTCAATGGAATACCTGTTCTGGAGGTACTTCCAGTGTCGGTATGAGCTGGCAAAGTTGAGTGCTTACACCCTTAAAAGGGGTTAAAAGCCACTTGTGGTGCCTTTGGCATGCTGAGGTATGAAATCAACTGCCACACTGAGATAGTAGGAAATGTGTGTCAATTTCAACCCCCGTTTTAACATCTTAATCTACCCGAGGTTCTTTGCGTGGCTCTTGCGCCGGCCCGGCCCAATCACCACTGGGCCAGCTCGTATTGCCGCAGCTTGTACCTTCAAAGCTACGAGACGGTTGATGTTTTACCATGCTAATACGAATGCATTCTTTTATTTGTTTCTCACTTGCACTTCTGAAGAGTGGAACCACCTCCCCCGCCAAAATGCAAGCATCTGTGACCCAACTGCTGTCAAAAATGCCCTTTCTTACTTTTGGTTTTGCCTCCATCTTCTTTACTTTATATGTACCAATCCCGAGAAGTAATGCCATGTGGCCTTAAGGGTAAATAAATAAATAAACACGTTTTTAGAAGCCACAGGGGTGATTATCTATGAATGCGATAGCATTGATCATTGCACACCGTCAAATTTAGCGGGCAAACTGAATTGGTGCATAGGTTGTGACAAAAAAATTTCTGCCAAATTTAGCGGGGAAACTCACTGTTTAGCGTCGTCCTAGAGGACGACACTAAATCTTTGTCATCCATGAGATCACCCTAGAGGTTGTCCTTGAGGTCGTCCTAGGCAACGTCGAGGATGGCGTCGAGGACGACATCTAGAACAACCTCAAAGACAGCCTCTAAGACAAGCTCTAGGAAGACCTCAAGGACGACGTCTAGGAGAACCTCAAGGATGACGTCTAGGATAACCTCTAGGACGACGTCGAGGTCATCGGGTATTTCAAAGAGGGTGCAAATGTGAAGAAGTGCGTACTCCGGCTTCAGATACGTACGGCGCAATGGGGTGCAAGAACAGTGAGCTCCAATGATCTACTGTGCACACCTACTGTGCATTAGGAGACCAGACACCAGATAGACAGAAATCTGTGATGAGTAGCTTAATAATGCTACTGCATTAAAATAAGAACCAGCACTAAGGTCGTAGTACGTGTAGCTGGGTTACAGCAAATGGGGGAAAGGGCAAAGTTGTGTGGAACAGGGCGAGTGACACTGCCTGTTCACTGACAACAGTTTTATTCCCCTCCAGGAGGGACTCTCAGGGTGCCTCAGTGGGCCACACAGGTCAGTTGATCTTCAGTTGGTTAATTAATTGACTGATTGATTACGGTTTAATGGTGCAAGGGCTGCCGAGGCCAAGATGTGCCAATTTTCAGTTGGATGTTAAGATCTTCCAAGGGGGATTTGTCCAACCATGCCTCCACCACGCCGATTAAGATACTTTGCAATCAAAGTTGGGTAGCATGTTCAGGCAGTTCTCTAGACCACAAAGTCTCAAGCCGTGTTCCTAGGAACCCGGGGGGTTGCCTAAAATCCCGCGTTTCCTCTGTCATTTCTGCCCTAAATAAACTGTTCTTGTTGGAGGACCTTAGCAATCTGTGGACACGTAACTATGTTTGAAACACTGCCTGCTATGTGCATTATTGCTTACAAGGTCCATAGGCTTCTGCTCTGCTTTACTCCATCAGTGCCAAGACCAGAACGAGTTCCTAAGCTTTTCATCAAGGAAGACGGTCGTTTCTCGAGATAAAAGAAGTCTGAAAGCCCTTGCTTAGACCTTTCTGCTTTGTCCTGGAATGCCTCTTGCAGCCGCCGCCACATTGTGTGCCAAAGAGCCCAAGCCCCCCGTGAGCATAGCAGCCCAGCCGTCCGAAGTGGTTAGCCTGCCAAACCTCGGCCTCACCGCTCAGAACATGGGCCTGCACAACCTGGTGAGCCCTGCCAACCGCTCGGCGGTCTCGTGACGGCTTGCAGTGGACACCCCCGCAGCAGTCGAAGATACTGCGCGGAGTTTCAACAAGTTTACGGCGTTGAAACCTGGCCAACAAAAAGGTCGCTCGGGAAATGACGAATTTTTCCAAACCGAAACCGGACCAGTTTCGGTACCGCTACAACGCCTGGAACGCGTCTCCGACCGTTGCTTTTTTCGTTTTATCCCACCCACGCATCGAAAGTGGTCCGGAAGTGCGACGATTTGGGTTACAGGAGCTGGAGTACCGTGCTGTCGGCCGCCGCGATCCTGTCAATGTCACAGCGGCAGTGGTGGATCCAGCAGACGCCTGTTCTGCTGCAGGTCCCTTTCTTCAGCTTGAAAGTTCATGAAATCTTTGCCTGCCAGGAGCCAAGACGACGGCAACGCTGTGTTTGCTCCTGCTTTTTGCCGGGGCTTCTACGACCAAACACCAAAGCCGCGGCGTCCGACATTCTGCTTTGCCGCTTAAGCGACGTCGTTTGTTGCCACTTGGGGACCACTGTCGATGCTAAACACACCAGTCGGAGACGCGCTCCAAGCACCACAGTACTACCAGACAGATGGCATCGAAGCCGGCCTTCCCACCAGTCTCCGAAAAGTGCCGCGTCACCTTGCGCCCACGCAGGTGTCCCTGGCCGGCGTGAACCTGTCCTCGGGGCTGCCCGTGCCCATTTCGCTGACCATGGTGCCCGTGACCCAGTCTAGCGTCCTGGTTGGGACGGCCGGCTCCCTGCACGCGCAGGTGCACAAACGTCTCCGACATTTTTATCCGCTAAGGCACGATCCAAACCAACGCGTTTTTGTGCGCTCATAGGCCGTGCGGCTCCTGGAAATTGCGTATTTCGTGACGTCGCGCTGGTTCCTCGCGCCTTCCGGGAGCGCATAAGAAAGCTTCAACTTTTTCTGAAGGCGCACGAAAACGCGCTGTGACATAGTAGGGTGCTTCTGCCACCGGCCAATCGGTGGAGGGCACTAGTTTGGGCTCCACGTTTCTTCGCCGTCTGGCGCAGATGCTCTCCGCTCGCCCAAAGCCGCACCGTCCTAACCAACAGATATGGTTGTGACTCGGAAAGCGCACCGGAAAAAGCAGAAACGTCACGAAATATGCAATTTCCGGGAATCGCACAGCCTACGTGGCACAAAAACGAGTTGCTTTGGACCGCACTTTAGCTGGAGCGAGTAGGCAGCCAGAAAAGTGGGTGTCATATTACTGTAGGCTCTTTTTAAAATTCACTATCATCTGGCGGCTCGAAAAGCAGTTTCAGTTTCGACAGACTAATGGCGTTCATGAAATCTATTTTATCAGGCACCGTCACTTTCGCACGTCGGTGGTGGATTACAATCGGTTCTTCGATCAGCTGATTGCTTTTTCTTAGTTTGTTTCAGTTCCAATGGTGGGAACGTAAGAACTGACCAGTGCAAAGTGGCAACCTAAAAGCCCCTCGATTAAATTTCCACCATCAAAAGGCTTTAGTGCCAAACTTGCTTCGAGAGATTAATTTACAATACTCCAAAATAAACGCTTACACAGCCATTGAATCTAATTTGTGTGTCGTGTCATCCCGACGCCTCGAGCATACAGGCTCCATATATCCTCCACTTGGTAGTACTTTCAACTTCTCCCTTCATGAGCTTCAAGAAAGCCAACATTAGTTTTGTGCAAGTGCTATATTCCGAGATGATGATAGTGATCAAAGTTCCCAGACTGAATTTCCAAAAGGGTCTAAAGGCCCGTTCACACTTTTGCGACCGAGTACGACTAAGAGGGACGAGATCTCTTAAAACTTCTTAAATGTTTTAGAATGAGGGAACAGACTGGCATTGTGGCGCCATCTATGCGGTGACCCTGGAACTGCATTTCACAAGAGCGAAGGTTTTGCGGGATTTCCGAGGTCAAATGTGCGTAATACCCATAGAAAGGCTCGTTTATAACATTGACAAAAGTTTTTCGAGCCAAGAAAGAAAGGATAATGCGCGATAAATAAAAAAAAAATATGCCGGACCGCCGAGTTTACACTGCTTCCCAATAGATGGCGCCAGTGTGTTCTCTGGTTTAAGAAGTTTTAAGGAACCCAGGTTTAAGAGGTCGCAAGAGTGTGAACGGGCCTTCAGACCCTTTTTTGAGAACCCCATTGAGCAACGTTGGCGGCCGCCATGAAGTAAAACTAACTAGCGCAGCTGGGGACAGAGAAAAATTGAGACTCCCTCCCACATGGCTCTGGCCCAACGTCCCAACCCCGTTTCTCAGTGGGTCCAGTGTTGGGGTAGGGCAGATGAGTAGGTTTGATCAAAGGAAAATTGACGACTCTTCTCACCGGCAGGTGATAATCTTAGTTGTTTTTGGGGGCCCGATCCCCCAAAGGCCATCCTGGCGATGTCCCGCACTGCCTGGTGATAGTTACAAAAATGCAGAGGGGAAGCAAATTGGTTCAGGTGGGCGAGGGGAGGGGTAATACTTTTGGTTTCTAGGCTAGGTGGCGCAAGCTCCCGCCCTTTATAAAGGGTACAGCCATCAGCATCCGTCCATCCATTCACTGGGCAGAAAACGTGCGATCAAATCTGAGTCCTCGCTCAACACCAAACATTCTCGACACGAGCGGGGTCAAGTTCACGCCGAACGTTGGTGGAGCTCTCGTGTCCGTTACAAGCTCAGAGTGCATGCCCAAACAATGCTAAACTCGGATAATTGGCGCAGCAGCTACTGGAAGGCGCACACTTTTGAAGGGGGTCTATTGTGTCAAGATTTAACATGAATGAAGTTCGAGTAACACCAGAAAAAGAAAACTAGCGGGGCTGCAGAGAACCTGATCTCCTGTTGGAACTTCACGAAATCCTTAATTTCCTCTACCTGCAAGCATCGGCCTGTGGTTACCGCAACTCAATCTCGCTTTAGGGATTCCAAGTCTGCGTCACGCACGAGCACTGCCGGTTTGCACATGCTATGCCACTGGCTTAATTGAGAAGCATTCCAAGAGGACGTTTTAGAGCCGTTGACGAGATTAAAATGCAGAGGAGGTCTTCTTCGGTATCTTGACTGTATCACAAAGTAGCCGTTTAGACCTCTTGGGGTTATAGACAACCATTTCTTGTAGGAAGTGCATACATTTGATTTGATTTCTCCAATGCTGCAAAACCTTTGCTCTGGAGAAATGAAGTTCCAGTGCCACACTATAGATGGCGCCACTGTGTTTCCTTGTCGTAAGAGATCACAAGAACTCGGTTCTAACCAAACGGGCCTTGAAGCTCACACTAGAAGCTCATGCTTGGAGCTCGCACTTTGAGCCAACGCTTGAAGCTCACGTTTGAAGCTAATGTTTGAAGGTCACGCTTAAAGCTCACGACGGTGCAGAGACTAGGATGCTGGCGGGCGGACAGTGGAAGCCCAGTCTGCCCGATTCCGATATCGGCTTCCTACCGTGTCCCACGCAGGAGCAGCCTGGGCAGCAGCCCCAGCAGCCCTGTGCCAGCCAGGGGGCCAGCGTGGGTACCTCGGCAGTCATCGTGTCCTCGGGTCAGTGCGCCACTCCCACGGGTTCTTTTTCGCTCGAGATTAGCAAGGGGGCAAATGCACAAGCGTGGAAAGAGAGCCTTCGAGAGCGTTCTCATTGCAAAAGTGGAAGCAGAATGTAGCACAGCCAAATCGACGAGCGTAACGAGGGTTCCATCACTCACACCACCCGGTACACCCAGAACGACAGTATCGCAGCTGGTGGCTTCGTCTAGCACCTCCTTCGCTCGAGTGGACGCTCAAATGAGATGAGAGTCGATGCCGCGTGCTTGCGCGGCAGTGCGGGGCTGCAGCACCGGCTACGCTAGCCTCTATGACATAGCACAAGAAATATTTCCGGTTCGTTAGTGTTTTGCGAGTGAACGTCGGCTGAGGTGCCACGCACTTTGCTGCACGGAGACTAAGCACAATCGCGCCGTACACCACCACGACATCTAGTAGACAAATTTCCTCAGTAAATTTAGAGGAACCACGTTTCCCAGCCACGATGACCCGACAGAAACGGGGATCCAGTGCAAAACCTCGATAACAACAGCATGTCACCGTGAAAGTGAATGCCGAGCTTAGTCCCAGGTGGGACGTCGCATTGGAACACTTCTGGGCGAATGGACGCAAACCGTTCTCCCAGAGGTGCTGGCGGGCGCTAACACGCTCGGGGCCCGGTGCGCAGGGATGGTGAACCCGGCCTCGACGGTGCTCACCTCCGGCTCCGGGGTGCTCTCGATGCCCCTGAGGGTGACCACCCTGGGCACCCAGGCCCTTACCGCCCAGCTGGTGGGCACGGGCATGGAGGGGACCACCCAGGGACAGCCCCTGTCCTTGCTACAAGTATGAACACCCTGACCAACGCTGGCCACCGCGATGTCCGGAAGGACTGGAGACTGGTTCGCACACTGGCGACCGAGTGCCTCTTTTGAAATCTACTACGGGGACACACTGATGCCCTGTATAGACCAACACGCGGCCATGACGTCACGCAGCTGCGGTGGCGCTGTCGGTGGTACTGCGCATGCGATTCACTTCACGTGAATTCAGTTTCTGCGCACGCGCAGTGCCTGTGGGCAAACGAGGGTTTGTTTGTAAACAGCGTGTCGGTCTATAGGGTAGCCATGGAGCTCCTGGCATTTCTGTGTATCTCCTACTTTTTTTCGTCATCCTTTCATTTTTGGATTCCAAAACTTTTGATGTTATAAATGAACATTTTTTGTAGATGGATACATTGGCATACTTGCCAAGTTCGGAGAAACCAAATCTAAAAAATTTTCTAAGCCAAAAAAAAAAAAAGGGAGGGGGCAGCATAAAAAGAAACCAAATCGTCAATGAATTTAAATGAAGACAACTTTATTGCCTTTTTATTGCACCACTCGCACTAGCGAGATACAGCCAGCCCTCGTTTTCGTTGCTGCCGTCCATTGCGACGGTCAAAACTCTTTGTTAAGTCCGGGGGTGGGGGGTTAATTCGCGTTTTCTGGGAGATTTTCCTGTCGGTCGTGCGATTGTACAAAATGGTCAAAATCCGAGTCTCCTGAGAATACCGTAAAATCTTTGCTCTAGTAAGATGCAGTTCCAGGGCCACCTCATATATGCAGCCAGCGTGTTCTCTCGTAAAAGATCGCGAGAGCTCGGTCACGAGAAAACGCGAATGCGCGAGCGGACATTCACACGCATAATTTCACGTTGCAGGTGCCTGGCGGACAGCAGACTCTGATCGGAACATTGCCACGGCACACCATGCCGACCGCCGGTGAGTTTGGGCGTTCGTTTGGAGATGGTGGATCACCTCTAGCCTTGTTGCCAGGTTTGCAACGCGCCGGAAAATGCCACGCGGATCGCCAATTTGTCTGCTTCTTTAACAGGGGTTGTAGCAATGTCAGAACGCCGAGCTGGAATTGGTTCCAATCGGAGGGATAGTGGGCAGACCTAAAGGCAGCTAGCATTGAGGTCTACCCGCCATTCTTCCAATTGGAGCTCGGCGTTTCGACGTCTGCAACCCCTGCGCAAGAAGCGGACAAACTTGCGCTCCGCATAACGACAGAAATAGAACGGCAGGGGAAAGTTTCAGTTGTCCGGCGCAAGCTTCCTACTTTCGACAACGCTGTGGCATTTCGTGCTGGAGGCAGGACGTTTGAACGACGTGCACTGCCATTCTCATCGATATGCTCGCAATAATTGGAACTTGGATATTTCTTACTTCTCTTTAATTCGAAGAAATTTAGGAATTTCGGTTGTCTTGCTATGTTTTTAACGTATCTAAAAGCCGCTTAATTCGAGTGGCGTTTTCGTGTTATTCATACTTTTTGTTTTTGCGGCCCCGTAGATGCACTTCTTACCGAGCACCGTTGCGCTGCGGGGAAGCAACACTTTTCAAAGTTCGCTACCGTGGGTGTTGCTTCTCCGCAGAACACCGGTGCTCGGTAAAAAGCGCGTGCAACGGGGCTGACGGCCCACAATAGACGACTTTTTATGCTGGATGAATAAATTTAATTTTGTTTCGAGGCGAGTCTACAATAGACAAAATTCTTGAGGAATAAAAAAACTCGTCTTATACATTTCTCCAATGTTTCGTGTGGCATACATGCTTATGATTAGTAGGCCTGTGTAGAGTAAATCATCAAATATTTGCTTTGTATGTGTAGTTATCCATATAACAAATCATAATTTTATGTTGCAACATATTCAGATGAATTTCTGACAATACAAATAAAATTTGTGGCTTCCTGGAGTTTGATTGAAAAGGTTTACTCCGACTTAACATAACAAAAGGTACAGACGTTTCGCCACCTATGCAGGTGGCATCTTCAGTATATACGGTGTACTGAAACCATTGTTATAATTTTAGTTTCAATCCCGAAAAAGTAATCATGAGTTGAATTTTGTTTGCTGATAGTTGGAAATCAGTCAACAAAGTCTGCCAATTAAAAAATTTTGTGGTTAATATTTTTTAAAAATAGTAGTCTCGTTGCTCTTTCCGATTTACGAGGTATTTAACCCGGAAAAAAGTATTCAAGTTCTAGACCCAAAGATACCGTAAGCAAAACTTTGTATTGTGACAAAAAATATTCTGAGAAAACAGGAAAATATTTTTGAAACATGCTTTAAAAGGGCACTGACACATCAAAATCTTTTTTTTTTTTTTATTCGAGACGATTGAAAACGATGCCAGGACATGACCCTCAAAGTTCGAAACTTGGGAATTCAGTATTTGTAAATTAAAAAAACAATTTCCAAATGCCAAATTCGAAGTTCCCGCGCGATCCGTGCCAGTGCAATGAGTCAAATTTTGCGGTCTCCTTTGAGTCGACTTTCTTTCGGACCTCCGCTCCACGCCACGAAGCAAAGCGCCGTTGCCACCACGACCCGAAGCGAGGAGGAGGTGAGGAAGTGGGATAGAAGGGTGCCGGCGCGGGAAAAAACGGTTTCTTCGCCGACTCGCCAATCATCCTCTGCTCGAGCGCCGCCAAGTTTTCCGAGGGAGGATAGAAATCCAGGAAGCGACATCACACCGGACTGATTTTTGGTATTTGGGGCCGTAGTGCGTTCGCAATTGCGTTAAAAAACATGTTTTATGATTGCCGTTATTAAATGTTATAGAAATGTCGCCTGCAAAGCTTTTAAATTTCCTGATTTTTGACGTCACCGATCAAAAGAAGTTAGGAGGTGAGCAGCGGGGGAGAAGAGCGCCAAAAATAAAAATGCGCGCGCAAAAATTTTTTTTTCGCGATTCAATTTTTTTGCGTGTCAATGACTACAACTTGCATCGTTTTAGACAATAAAAAAGGAAGCGACCTTTGGGGTGTCAGTGCCCCTTAAAGCAGCCTGGTTATGAAACTTCGAATAGATGTAACTATATAAATGTTCATATCCTGAGCGTAGTAGTACCTACAATTCATATTGTTTTTAACTTATAGATTTTACCTTATTTTCTTGTTTCCAAGACCAGGGTCTCCCCTTAAACATGATCAATGAAATCTGCTGAAGACAATCTCACAGTAGTATTTTGAAAGGATGGCTAATTTTTCATTTTGAACGGCCGATTCATGGGTAGTTTGACGTAATGGCATTCGGTTTGTTCGTTTTAAATAATGTTTCGGTGTCTTTTCGAGCGAAACATTTATGTTTCTGCGGTGTGGCCAGAACGTGGTTGACAATAAAATAGGTGCCAGAATTTTGTTGCGGTACCCCTTTAAATGAGAGTCTACTGTACCCAAATCTTAGCACAATGTGAAACACGGGGCTGGCAAGACGAGGGCGCCCCCTAGCAGCATGCGCAGAGGACGAGGGAACTCTAGCAGAGTCACGGAACGAGGGGTCACGTAACGCAATTGCTTTTACCCCACCCCGCTCTCTGCGCATGGGATTGTACTCTACCTCACTATACTCGTTTTCACCTGGAAAAGGAAAGTTTTGCGCATTGTTCATACGCCGTGCAAAGTAGTTCTTACAAAAAATGGTTGTCAGACGAAGAAGCAATGCTTTTGGCAAGTGTACGTCTTGATAACATACATCTAATCTGAAATGCACCACCATATATCTTAATTCTCTACATAATAGGAGAGAATTAGTAATACTTTTAGACGAGCCCGACTTTTTTTTTACTACAGTTCTTGAGGTGGAAACAAGTGTAGGTTTGGTGCAGTGCCGTGGAAACGAGTGTGGGTTTGGTGCAGTGCCAGAAGTCAGGAAAGTAACGTCTGGACAAAAGGGGAGGTTCCTCCTTCCTTTGTTTCCAACTGTGCGTGTTGCGCCCTCGCCCACGTGCCTTTGGCAACGCTGTGTCCGACTGAAATGGAATATACGCAAGAGCGTGATAATGTGGAGAGATTGACGTACAACTGGTCCGAGCACGTAGCTTCCGCCGTCCCATCCATGGTGTTATTATAATGTACGCTAGAGGTTCAACTGACGCAAATTGAAGCAGACTGCACCCATTTGAAAATTGACTTCCGGTAATGCATTTTTATGGGAAAAAGTGAGCCCATTTTCTTCCTGCGCTCGATCATAAGAGCAAATTTCCGGAATAAGTCATAGGTACTAGTAACTTAGAACATTTCTCAGTCAGGCAGACAAAAAAATTGGTCAATTACAACGTTTTTACTTCAAATTTGTCGCATTAAAAACGGCTTCGTACATGTATTTATGTGCACTGTCGGATACTGTCAGCATGAACACGATGTCGGCGCTTTTCAGCATGGGGATATATGTGCTAAACGAATGAAGAACACGTGGAAAACCAAGAGAGACGGCAAGAACTATGCAGTAACACAGGATCAGTAACTCCCTGTGCATGTACAGTCAAAATAAATTGAAGGCCACATAATATAGTCCGATTTGCAATAAGTACCACTTTATTCTTTCTGATCTGTGTGAAGATGCATGTTCTACTTTGAAAACATCATCCGCACACTCGAAATCTTTGAGAACAAGTGCTCGATAAAAGCTGGCCGGCATGGAAAACAATAAAAATAGACACCTTTCATAGCCCACATACTTTATTCTTTACGTTTTGAATGTTTAACTGCTCGCAAAGATGCAAGACGGGGTCATTTTTATATAGTGACATGACTGGCATAATAGCAATATACAAGTGCCAATGGAATGCTGGCGAACCTTGAACACAGTCTATATTCCTTTCGATTGTTATTTTGCTGTGGCACACATGTTTGGGCCTGAAATATAACAAGGTTAAATATTGTTCAATGATGAAGAAAAATTCGCTAACTAAAGCAATTACACTTTTACAGTGTTAATAAAGGTACATACTATTCGGTACAGCCCAAATAACAAAAGTGTTCCACATTATTTTCTGGCGAAGAAGCAAAATCCACCCGCATTTTCCCATAGGAAAGCACAGGAGCGTCACAAAAGTAGACTGGTTTCTGTCTGCTTCAATTTGCGTCCCGGAAGTCGCATAGACACTAGCGGCAGTTGAACCTCTATTATACATTATAATAACTCTATGGCCCCATCGATTCGGCAATGAATGAAGTGCACGTCAGTCTTCGACGGGCTGCTAACGTTGGGGGCCACACGCAGGTCCGACCGGCGGCCACAGCAACCCGCAACTGCAGATGGCACTCCAGAAGCAGCTCCAGAGGCAGCAGGGCTCGACCGCACCAGCCAGCGCCGGTCGGCCGCGCAACCGCAAGAAGCCGGGAAAAACGTAGCGGCAGCCCCGCCGCTTTTTAACACGAGACGCCCGCCGCGCCCATTTTAGGACAGTTGCCTTCCTTCCCATTTTTAAAGCTTTTAAAAGATTGCATCTGGCCAATAGTACCACCTAGGGGACAAGGCCTCCTCCTTTCACCCCCAAGCATCACCATTAGTGAATCCACGCAGCCTAGCTCGCGTCAATGTCACCGCCTTCACCTCTCGACACGTGACGTGTACGCGTCTGCCGCCTTGCGGCGACTCTTGTTGAGCTTTGGCATGTTTGTTGCTTGGGGCCGGTCGGAAGTCCGCCGACGATGACGTCATGTGCGGGCCTTGTTTCCTAGCTGGTATTCATCTGGCCCAACCATTTTTACCTGGAGCCGTCATTTTTTTAAACGGGCGTCCCATCGTCGTCACCTTGGGGCGTTTGTTCCGGAACTGCCATCGCATAGTTATTTTTTCCGAGTCGACGCAGACTCCTGACCATCGCAAACGCCTGTACATACTGCACACACGGAATGTGGAAGCGGCACGAGCGTCTATATTATATATACAACCGAGCTTCGTCCGGAGGAAGACTCGTCAAGGCCGTCTGTGTTTTTAGCAACGACCCAATAAAGGGTTCTTGCGTGCTCTCGGCTTGTTGGTGTTCTTCAGGGGCGAGGTGCGGTGGCCAGCGCCGTGTTCAGCAGGGTACGGCTGTCCTTGACCAGTCTCTGGGCTTGCTCCAGGTGGTCCGACATCTGCTCCGGGCTCAGGAAGGAGCCGCCTGTTGACAAAATGCGTTCCGAACCGTCCTGAGCCAACTGTGCTCGCTGCTGCAGCCTTTTTCTTTGCAGACGATTTCTCGGACGATGGATTGCATTACACGGGATATGCCCAGTGTTGCTATGAAAACTAATAAATTCCCGTAACTAGGCGGTTTGAAAGAACACTTTCGGTAAGAAACGGCCAGCCTCGGCAGCAAAACTGGGATTGCATTAAACATATTAAGTAGTGCAATAATAGTTCGCAAATAATTAGTAAACATGCTGAGCAGCATCGGAAATCCTTAAATCAGTTAAGTTTTAGAAGACTTAAAGCATGTGTGAAGCGTGTAAGTGTGCTAAAGTTTCGACTGGTGCAGCAGGCACAGATCCGGCAAGGAGACAATGCAAATGATAAGGACCTCGTCCATGCTCTGGTATCGCCAGCCCTGCCGGCAATGTGAAAACTATGCATCGTCGCAGCCAGTTTTTTCAGGGCGCCACTCTCTCTCCTCTAAACACTGGCGCATTCCAACCGTCCTCTCTAGTCCAAGAGAGCGCCCGAATACTTCCGGCAGTTTGTGGCAACTCCTCTCCGAGACCATGCCTCCTCCACTTGTCCGCGCCGGGCCAGAGGTGAGAAATGGGACCGACGTAAAATTAGACTCGTTGCCGACAAGGTGAGGAGGGCAGGAAGGAGCCTCAGTTGTACCGCCTCCGGCATGAGCTTCCTACCTTCGACGATGCTTGGGCCTTCCGTGCACCTCAAGTGCGCGCACACGGCTGAAGGCGTGAAGGGCTTGAAAGACTCGCCCTGCCATTCTTATTCTGTTGGAGATTATACAGGGCGTGACTTCCACTGCTTGAAAGAATGCAGATGCCAGTATGCGCTCGTACGTTCCTTTCTTTTTTTGCCTTTGGCCCTGTTTTTATTAGCTCATTCAATAGATACTTTTAAGGGGCACTGACAGGTCAAAATATCAAACAATTGAAAACAATGCCTGGACATTACCCCCAAAATTCGAAGCTTGGGAACTCTGCATATGCGAAGTAACAAAAACAACTTCCCAAAGCCGAATTTGAAGTTCCCGGGCACAGTGCCGTCATGAGGGTCAGCGGGACCCGGGGCAATAGCCCACCGTGACACCCCCCCGCTCTCGTGGCCCGCTGCGAGACCCCCCTGAGCGCTGCACCCCGGTCCGCTCCGCCCTCCCTCCCCTTGTGATGCCAGTGCAGTGACGTCAAAGATTGAGTCGTCCTGCAACTCGAGTTTCTCTCACGCCTCCGAACCGTCTCGACTTGAAGCGTCGAGCTCTCCCGCGTCCCGCGATCAACCGCTCTTCTCTATGCGAGCCACCTGTCACTGTGCAGACGACGCTTGAAGTTTTTATACAGCCCTTTCAGCGATCTTGAATTCTTCGAAACGGGGTGAGGTCGAAGAGAACGCGCAGTGGACTTTTGCAAGCGACATGAGGGGCCACGTAGCGCCGGTTCTGCGTGAAAAGCTCCCCCGGGGCAGTCTCAACCGAAACTACGGTACACAGACACCAAACCCACTTTTTTTTATTGTTTGACGATTTCCTTTTTGAAGTCTGGGAGGTCGTCGGACACTTAAAAAAGACAACTTCGTCCGATTCCACAAATCATCCTCGCTGCTACATATGCCGAGCGCCCGCATATTTTCCGATGGAGGATGAAAAGGCAGGGGGTAAAATCACCCCGGATTCCGATTTTCGATATTTCAAAAAGTGCAGAAAACATGTTTTACGAATGCTGTTATTAAATATTATAGAAATGTCAAATATTATAGAAATGTCGCTTACGAAGCTTCTAAAATTAATACTTGATTATGTCAAAAATAAAAAGAAGCAAGGAGGTGAGAAGAGGGAGAGAAGGGCAACAAAAATGTAAAAAAATTTGTGTGGGGAAATTTTTTTTTTTTCATTGTGGTATTTGTTTGCAGTTTACGACCACAATTTGCATTGTTTTAGGGGGGGAAAAAAATACCTTTGGGGTGTTAGTTTTCTTTTAACTCGAAATGAGTTATGAGAATGTTTTGTCAGCACCAGCTCCCATCACAAAAACCGGAATTTAGGAAAGGGGATAGAATACACATTGGAATTGACATAGTATAAAAATTCAGTGCCCAGAAAATTCTCTCCCTGGTTACCACTTTGATGCAGTGGTTAGCGTGTCCCTAACACACATGCTAAAATCATAGGTTCAAATCCGGTCAGGGATGAAGTCTTTTGCTCGGCGATGCAGTGCATTTTTTGGTGACATCACAAGCTAGAAGTCTTTTAGAGTCAAAAGCGGTAAAAGATATCTACATTTCTCAAAGTAGAACAACCATTGTCAAGCATCTTGGAAAACCGAGAAATGTGTGAAACTCTGCACGTATACCAAGCAGCTTATGAAAATCTCAAATCGACAAGTAGCCGACGTCTGAATTTCCATGCCGCGACAAGGTCGGTGCCCACCTGGCTTGTGGACGGTGCAGAGTGTGTCGTCTGCTGCGAGGACCACGGTGAAGGTCTCCTGTGCCAGGCACTCCTCCTCGTGAGTGGGGTCCGCCACCACCACGTCGTCGGCCAGCACCGCAAAGCTCGCCGCCAGGGGGCCCGGGCTGACCCCGACCGCCTCGCGCTCCAGCAGCACGTCCACCTTGCCTTCAGCCGTCGACACCTGTAACATTGTTAGGCACCATCTCCCTATTCCATTCACCCCTAAGCTGACGGCTTGCTGGAAGCTACGTGCTCGTTCAACCAGTCATATGTTTATCTTTCGCCAAGAGCCACTAAACTGTGCATAAGCATGTCGCCCGTTTTGATTTATTAGAGCGTAGCTCTTAGGCGCCCGTTTCCAGTTTGAGCGGCGTCGCCGTTGTCGGCATAACCGCACATTGCATTATGGGACATTTCCTATAATGGCATCACGAAGGTCACAACGAAGGTCCTGACCTTCACAAGTGACGTCACTGGGGTCACAAGTGACATCACGAAGGTCACTTGTGAAGGTCACGGCCTTCACAGTGACTTTCACGAGTGACGCCACGAGGGAGGAGGAGGGGAGGTAAAATAGAGGAGGAGTATGGGAAGCAGGAGAGGAGAGGGGGGAGGTGGAGAGGGTATAGAAGAGAAGGAGGGGCATATTTTCCTCTCCGTTCCCCCCTCCTCCTCAGAGCTGCGCTCTAATTCGGCATTACAGGAAATTGTTAATCGTCTTCCTTTTTTTTCATTAGTTTTTTTTACTTACAGATACTACAGGCAGCAGAGCTGCCCATGCGGGAGTTGTGACACTAGCAGATGCTCAAATGATTCAACATTTGCGCTTTCAATAAGCAATGACGACAAGCAGTTCCACTGCTCAATTGTGTTTGGAAAAAAGGATTTTTGAAAAGGTTTAGTTCTGGCAAAATATGGACGTATTAGGTACTTTAGAGTCGTTTAGTCTTGTGATCTGTGTGGCGCTGGAAATAAATAGTGTTCACTTCGCAGGCCAGAGCTGCTATATGATAGTAAATAAAGAAACTTTAACCTGGCGACTTGACGGTGCAGGTGGAGCGGGCAAAGGTCCAGCTGTTTAAAGGGGCCCTGCAATCATATTTAAGCATCTACCTTTTTGGGGTTTCTACGTCTCTTGGGGTTCGGGCAAGCCAGCGGGCACGGAGAGAATAACTAAATATCAGTGTGTCATATTTTAACTGGACGACGCGGAAACCTCCTCCACCGACAAGGCGACCCGCGGTACCGAAAGCGCGCAAAATGTGACGTCTTTGGTCCTGGGCTTACTACTGGTCAGAGCCGCTAAAAGCTTCTTTTTAGTCGAAATACAAAATATAAGTAGCGCGGACCGTTTCAATTATTTATAAAAGTAGTTTTTGTTCAGTATTTTAGATCAGAAAAGAAACGAATGCAGTTTATAAAATACGGAAACAAGAAATGACCCGTCGACATACCCGCCACCAAGTGGTGGAAAAGCAGCGAAAAGGGTGCAAAAGCACAGAGCCCTGAGGCACTCCTGACAAAACTGGAAGGCTAGAAGACCTAGCCTTTTTAGGTTCTGTAGATATGCCTTCATCCAGCGCACAAGCCTATCGTTAGTTTTCTGAAAGAAGTTTCCTGGTCTGGGAAGCCAGTGTAGGATTGAGGATTCAAAATACCTTGGGCAATGTGAGTGAGGAAAGCGCAGCCGTGGCAGCCAGCACACACGCCTCGGCCAGGTTCCCGTCGTAATCCAGGCAGGTGAGGTCCAGCTGGAGGCACCAGCACAACTGCACATGCAAAGCAGCAGTGATCCTCTACGGCAATGCAACAAGTACAACGCTTTCCGTATGGTCACCAAGATCAGCAGCTGCACATGGATCAATGAATGGGAAGATACCCTTTGTATCAGGCAGTAGCTTGTGCCACCTAACTTAGAAATATCTACCTTCCTCCCATTTACATTTTGCTCCAAATTCCGTCTCTTGTTAAATAACCTACCCCACCAACTTTGTGTATTATCACACTTTTTTAGACCTTTCGCACCAATCATTTAACCTACCCTTTCAGACTCTTTTTTTCTCTTGGTTCATCTAAACTTGCCAACATAACACAGCTCTACTGCCATATCCATTACCTCTTCAGGGAGGGCAGGATGAAGCCCCGTGCATTTCAAAACCACATGTTTTAGCATCTTGCCTTCATCATGGCATACCTATAGCTACAGTCTTGCCAGTCATCCAACTGAACAGAAACTCGAAAATGCCCTTGAAGACGGAAATGCCAAGCTCTCTAGAAGGGAAATACTCGTGCACCAGCTGTTTAGCGCCTCTAGTATTGGACTAAGTGGTGAAAGCTTTGGACCATGATTACAGAAGTGAGTCCAGAACACATAGTTCTGAAGGCAATTCTCTGGAGTCGAACGACATAAAACAGGTGTGGGTGCAGCTCATCGAGCCCCATTGAAAGTCAGAAGCATTAACTTTATAGCAGAGGTATACTCAGATTTGGATGTCGCTGTCTAAACTAACCAGCAGGACACAAAGTCACTTCCATTTGATATGAAGATCAGTACCCACCTTGGCTTCTTCAATGCACAGCTTTTCCAGGTCCACACAGTTGGAGCTGGTAGGAAAACAAAGTTAATTCCAGGGAGGTTAAAATGATGCCTGCTATGTCTTTGAACTCATCCACAATTTGCAAAACCTACCTAGCTGTTTTAGCGGAAATCCTGCCAGGCATCCTAGATTCTCCCTTCTGTACCTCGCTCGTAAGGCTATTATTTCGCGAGATTTCTCAATGTCTTTAGCATGATGACACAAAATTATACAATGCCACAAGCACAAGATTTCTCAAATCCAGGAGTTTATGGGTGCTCACCACATTAGATACAAAACAAAAGGTCAGTTTTCTAAGTTGCAAGAATTAGTGTCTCCAAACAGGGACTGCACTTGCAATTGTAAATTACTAAGCTTGTATTCAAGTTCCTAGAGCTGCTAACTGAAGACCCTGTTGCAACTCTCTACACATAAGCTGCAAACACAAATTTGTTGCCTAAAAAGAAAAAAAAAATGTTTGGAAGAAATAAAAATAACATCCTAAAATCACCGGCCAACATTTTGCTAGGAGACTTGGCTTTTTTTTCTTTTTTGGGCTTCTAGAAGGTTCTTTTCATACTAACCCGAGGAAAATTTGCCCTTTCCTGCAACATGGTGGCTCTCCAAGAGGAACTTGATCACGGTGCTTCAGGAAAGGCACCATGATGATGGCCATTTGGGATTTTTATAAGAGATTGAGAGGGGCTCTCTAGGACTTGGGACAAGACATTGAGAATTATGGTGCTGAGCACCACAATGCTCCAAGAGGAACATCTTGATGATGGCCTTTTGGGATTTGGTTCACAAAGAGCAGCCCTCTCGAAGTGTTTCAAGAGGAACTCCACTTTGGTACTCCAAGAAAGGCATCCTGATGATGGCCTTTGGGACTTTCGTAAATAGTCCATAATGAGGGGCTCACTTGGACAGGACATCGAACATCATGGTGCTCAGCACCATGATCCCTCAAGAGGAGCATTTTGATGTTGGCCTTTTGGGATTTGGTGCTCCAAGAAGAACACCATCATGATGTTCCAAGACTCCAGCATGGTGCTCTAAGAGGAGCAGCATGACGATGGTCTTTTGGAACTTTCGTAAATGGTTCATTGAGAGGCTCACTTTGACAGGATATCGAGCATCATGGTGCTGAGCACCTGGGCCTGGGGACCTGGTGGTCCCGGCTTGAACATGGGCGAGCACAGGGGCGGCAGGTCCACGTTGGGCACTGGAAGGCAGCCAACAAGGCACGGAGGAGGCAGGTAGGCTTAACAATGGGTGTACCAGACTCACCGATGAAACCACACTTGGGTTCGCTCACGCTTGGCTCTGCCAGTTCCTGGGAGAAGGAAAGGAAAAGCTCTGCATGAATCGTGACACATCGTAAACTGTATACCGTATATATCCCTTTGTGACATAACCAATTTCGCAAAACCAAATTAACCGCAAAACATTTATCACGTGAATATCCCACTAGCCATTAAACCAGCTACCCTCCAAATGTTAAATTTTTGTTTCCACAAGGGGCTTAAAGTCGCATCAGATGTTAAAGAGCATGCTTCCTATCCTGGAAGAAGGCTTAATCGGCCTTTTCAAAATAAATTGTACATGCACTTGTTTAGGTATGCATGCGTAGGCTGTCGTTACTCTTTTTTTATGTGTGTGCTGTGTTGTTTTGAACATGCTGTTAAACCTTGCCCCCAATGTAGGCCATCAACACCCTGTCAGGCGATTTTATCTCGCCTTTTGTGCCTTTGGACCCTCCACGAAGAGTTCCCTTTCACCTTAGAAAAATAATGATTGATTGAAAATGAATATGGCAGTACTGGGATTGCACATACAGGTGTAGAGACAGAAAGAAAAAAGACAATTTTAGTAACTTCGACTGTCATCGTGCATTCTTCCTCCTTTTCGTGTGCTGCACCTCCAAGAGTGCTTCAGCTGTCAGTTTACAAACCTACTCCAATTTTTCTTGGTTCCCATCCGGGTCAGAACGGCAAGATTACTTTGAAATGCACAGTGGACTCAACACTTGCCTTGAGCCATCAAACAAAGTAGAGTCTCCTGTAATATGAAAGACCCACTTAGTGTGCGTCATTGAGATGGCGGCAGGCGGGGGCGCCACGATCGCTTCAGCTGACTCCATTTTGCTTTGAGGGGAGGACACTCACTCGGGGCTCAACCGGGCCTGAACATGCTTAACAGTTTTGCGTTTTGGTGTAGCAGAAGAGCACACTTCATCGGCGATGCAAGCCTAGAGATATGGTCGCAAAGGCTGAAAACAAGCTAGTCATCGAAATAACAGTGAGAGCGCAGGTGAGCTGGTGGAGTTTTTACCATTTCTTTAAATTACCCAAGACTGAGGCGAGAAAACTATGAAGCATCAAAACGTGGAAGAGAAAGGCAAAGTGATAGGAAGACAACGTCTCGAACACAGCTGAAAGGTTTATTTAGTTCTCTCTCTCATATACCCCTACTCCCAAGGTTGCCAGCCCCCGCACACACAACCTCCGCTTTCCAAGGACACAGACTTCCCTTTTCAGACTTTCTCTTACACGTTTTGATGCTTCATGGTTTTCTTGCCTCAGTCTCAGGCAATTTAAAGAAATGGTAAATCTAGTCATCCCTGTTTTTAGCACTTCTTCTTGGTGTCCAATGTCAAAACAGGCGCTGTTAAATAAACCAATATCAAAGTTAAACCCGAGTCCTATATTTAAAAGATAAAATTTGTTGAAGTGCGCATTCATTGGCTAGAAGGATGGCACAGATCTCGTACTTTGACAGTCAGAATAATCACCTTGGCTTAGGTCAATCTCTCTCAGACAGCAATTGCGGCGTTAGTAGGACAAAGCGGTGGCATGACCCTGACGAACTGCTCTCCGCCACGAAACCGAAACTGATAAGCACGCTTTGCTGAGCCCCGAGCGAGTCGTCCTCCCCTCAAGGTAGAATGGAACCACCCGCAGCAAGTGCAGTGCTCCCGCTAGCCAACGTCTCGGCCACGTGCTCCCAGTGGGTCTTTCATATTGCAGGAGACTGTACCTACAAGGGCAGAGTTTCAAAGTGGGCCACTTATATGGAATCTGGTCGGCTAGGATCCACGACATCAGATGCAAAATTCAACTCTCGCGACAAACAATAGAGTTTTAGAAAATTGTTCTGATGACTCCGATAACGATACCCGGTACTCTGCCTACGCCTTTGCGCATTTTTATTGTTATCGGAGTTATCAGTATTATCAGTATTGTTATCGGAGTTATTAGAATTACCTACTAAAACTTGAAAACATCCCATCCAAAGTAGCGGCAACTCCCACGGGAGGGTGGGCATCCCGGCAAATCACGCGATCACGAACACATCCTGCAAGTGATTACAGCTAAAAAATCCCGAATGAACGCCCACCCACAGGAGAGGGAGGAAGTATGACATGGGCGACATTTTGAGCGCAGACGTTTGTTCGTGATTCAACTCTTCTTGTAGTCACACAATGGCTCGGTGCGGCATGCAATCTGGCGACTATGGAAGCACGGAAATTGTGAACATTTGCCTACCGCTTTAATGCCACATACGACGGTGGTGCAGCCCATCTTGACGAGCGCCGAGCCGTCTGCGGTTGAAATGGACCCTAATCGACGGAAGCACACTGTGAAGGCTCGGTTCACAATAAATTCTTGTCATTCTTACCTATGTTCAGGGCCGTATCTCGCCTTTCCCCTAGATCCCGTCCATCGGACCGGACGTAGGTTCCCTGCACCCACGACAGCGTGTCACAAACGAAGAATCACAATAGTCGACTTCTAAGCTAAACTCACATTCGCCTGTCGTTGTCCCAAGTGAAGGCGAGACTGAAGCAGCCTGTGGAGATTGAAATTAAGTTTTGCATGCATTCTCATTCCATAAAATACTGAGTTTCAAAACATGTTTTAAACCGTTCACGTGCGTACCTGAATTCTGCCGCCATTTTTAAACTGATCGCCCGTTTCCGGATCCGCCGGTCAGCATGTTCCATTTGTTTCGACACGTCGAAAACTTCACTCGTGATGTGAGATCGAAATTGCATAAACCACATGTAACCATCTGAGTGATCTTAGTTACCCACCATTCTCCACGAGTGATTTTACGGTCTAAATTATTAAGCACGATTTTTTAATGTTTTGGGTTCCTGGGGATACTGAAGTTTTGAATGTGAGAGTACAAAGAGTCACCACTTTGACAAACTCAACCTACCTCCAACGTTATTGACGCCCTGCGGAGCAAGATTCGAACGCAGCCTTTGTCGGCTTCTTCTCCGGTAGCGATGTTGTACTACGTGGACTGGGGAACAGTTCTTCTTTATTTGGCGTCCTTTTGCGCCTTTTCCTTGATCTTGGTGAGTGAAATAACACATGACGCGCATGAGAACGCTTTCTGGGATCGATTTCAACCGCGAACGTACCCGTCCTAAACCCTAATCCGTTAAATAAACGCGTAAAGAGTGCACGTCAGCTGTTTGTTGATACTGAAATTCGTACACAAAAGCCCTACACTCTGTTTCATACTTAGCGTGCAACGCTGTCAAAGCTACTGGCGCGAGTGCGAGGCTTGATCTCGTTGATCGTTTGCACGCGTTCTCGCGCAAACAAAACCACAGAAGAAGCCACGCGCTCGCGCCAGTAGCTTTGAAGGCGTTGTACGCTAAGTATGAAACAGAGTATAGACACAATCTCCGGTGTACATACTGAACGCGTAAGTAGTGCAACGGTAGAAAATATTGGTGACCGACCCGAACGATTTGCGACGTGAACAGCCGGGGGTTACGTGGAAAGTAGCGTTGACGAGTGTCCAATCCTCTTCTGACGCAGCTCTGTACTGTGCTGTACGCTACGGCAAGCAAGCTACCCGTTGTGCTTCGCCACGAAGAAGAGCTGTACTTCAAGGACCCGTCTCGCCCAGGAGTACGACACCGATTCGCGCACCTCAAAGATGAGCCCAGCGTGCGCCTGTCAGTCATCGTGCCGGCCTACGACGAGGAGAAGCGCCGTAAGTGGCGGCTGATCATGCAACTGTAGTATGTACACAACGGATCCTAGCGCTGTAAAACGAACCGAAAAAATTGGCACCTGCCCATAGAAAACTCAATTTCGCCGAATGTGGATATAGGTTAACGAGAAAAGAGTCAAGGTACAGGCTAGCTGGTGGAAGTCAACCATTTCGTCGTTTACCCTGATACTGGGGGGATTTTTTGAAGAGCAGAAGTAACAGAAAAAACAGACAGGTCTCTGTTACTTCTGCTCTTCAAAAAATCCCCCCAGTCTCAGGGTAAACGACAAAATGGTTGACTTCCACCAGCTAGCCTGTACCTTGACTCTTTTCTCGTTAATCGTACCTGAAGCAGGCTTTTTGCCATTGAGACCTGTCTGTTTTTTCTGTTACTTCTGCTCTTCAAAAAATCCCACCAGTCTCAGGGTAAACGACGAAATGGTTGGATATAGGTGATGCTTTTTGTCTTAGAACATTTGAAGGTGTAGCTGTCTTCCTGTGGAAAATGAGACCACCGTACTTACCAGAATCAACGGTGGACATGTTTGCATACGACCGAGTTAGCGATGGTTGTAACTTGTGGCGCCATCTCCCGATAGGCGCAGCGAGCAGACGACAGAGTGTGTCATCTGTTCGCTGTGCCTCGGGAGATGGCGCCACAAGTTATAACCATCGCTAACTTGGTTGTTTAGGAACAGATATGCCGTTGACCCCGGCAAGTTCGTTGGTCTCCTTTTTCGCAGAAAGAGAGCTACGCCTTCAAATTTCACAAGGTGAAATGCTCCACCTAAATGCGTATTCAATGAGAGTTAGAACTTTCTATGCACAGGCACCAAGTTTTTCGGGGTAGTTTTACAGTGCTAAGATCCATTGTGGACAGCCTATACTTCGCTCACTCACCCATTATGATACTCTTTGAACCGCAGTACCGCCAATGTTGGACGAGTGCCTCGAATACCTGGAAGCCAGGCGGGCGAAGCAGCCCGACTTTACTTACGAGGTGATCGTCGTCGACGACGGTAGCCGCGACCGCACCTCGGAGGTGGGGCTGAGCTACTGCCTCAAGTGGGGCTCGGACAAAGTCAGGGTCCTCACGCTAGTCAGGAACAGGGGCAAAGGAGGAGCTGTGCGCCTGGTATGTGTCGTCTGGAAGATTGCTGGTTAAAAGTTGATGGTGCTCTGCTCCTATTCTCTGCAGGGTATGCTGAGCGCACGGGGCGAGCGTCTGCTGTTTGCAGACGCGGACGGTGCAACTCGCTTCTCGGACTTGGACAAGCTCGAGCAAGAGGCAGACACGCTCTTCCAACAGGTCGGCCTGTAACAGTCTCGAGTGTTGATCCTTACAGTTGTCTCTGTCACAGAGCCCCACGGCAGTGGTGGTAGGCTCCCGTGCCCACTTGGAGAAGGAGTCTATGGCAGAGGTGAGCAGACGCTCGCTCGGTTGCCGCCATGTCAGGTTGGTCGGTCACCACTTGCATTCTCTTCACAGAGGTCTATCCTGCGCACGTTCCTCATGTTGGGCTTCCACTTGCTGGTGTGGCTGTTTGCCGTTCGGGGAGTGAGGGACACTCAGTGCGGCTTCAAGCTGTTCTCCAGGGAGGCTGCGCGGTACCTGTTCCCCTCACTTCATGTGGAGAGATGGTGAGTGCCGCGGGAGAAGGGTAAACACAGTCAATTTGTGGTATTTCTGGGCAAACAGGGGGAAGTTTTTATTGACATTGAAAAAGAAATAACAGAAATCCCGGGGCCAGTGACACTACAAGGAACAAACATCATTGGCCTGTCTGTGAAAGGAGACAAGCTATGACTGAGAAGTCTCTTGTGTCCCTATGGTCTGTTGCAGGTTAAAGGGGCGCTGACACCCCAAAATAGAATTTGTTTTTATTGTCTAAAACGATGCAAGTTGCAGTCATAGACACGGAAAAAAAAACGCATTGCAAAAAACATTTCCCTGCGCGCCTTTTTATTTTTTGTCATTTGATTCTCCCGCCTCTCGCCTCCTCGCTTCTTTTGATTCGTGACGTCAAGAATCACGAAATTTAAAAGCTTTGTAGGCGACATCTCTATAACATTTAATAACGGCAATCCTAAAACATGTTTTTTAACGCAACTGCGAACGCACTACGGCCCTTCTTTTTGAAATACCAAAAATCGGGAGTTTGTTGTGGTGCCGTCTCCTGTATTTGTATCCCCCCACAGAAAACAGGCGACACCGCTGAAAACCGGTCCGCCGGCGCTGGCTCCTTTCCTCCTCGCTTTGGGTCGCCATGGCAACAGCAGGGAGTCGTGAAAGAAAGTGGACTCTCAGGACTCCGCAATATTTGATGTCAATGCACCGGCGCGGATAGCGCGGGAAGTTCGAATTCGGCATTTGGAAATTGTTTTTTTACTTCACAAATACTGAATTCCCAAATTTCGAATTTTGAGGGTAATGTCCTGGCATTGTTTTCAATCGTTTCGGATAATTAAAAAAAAAATGATTTTGATCTGTCAGTGCCCCTTTAAGAAAAGCAGGACAAACTCCTCCCAAAAAGTTGTTTACGTCGAATGCTGGAGAGGCAACGAGTGGAAAGGAGAAAACTACCATTCATGGCGAGCAGAGAGCTTGAGGGAGGGGCTTGCCCCTCTATTCTAGACCTGTGACAGACTATAGGAACCTTTTTTCTCTGTCTAAGATTAACAGTCACCAGCTCGCTTATTTTCTAAACATAGTTTCATCCACACTATTTGTCCTGTGTTCGGTATTCTCTGGGTGCCTCCAGGGCCTTCGACGTTGAGATGCTGTACATAGCGCAGAGGCTCAAGTTCCCCATTAGAGAGGTGGCTGTTCACTGGACTGAAATCGAAGGTCAGTAGGCAAGGCTCTAAGGCTTCTACTGGGACCTCATCGTACGATGCCTTTTGCAGGTTCCAAGGTGGTTCCCTTCTGGAGCTGGCTGGAAATGGGTCGAGACCTCTTTCTTATCTGGCTCCGCTACACCATTGGTGCATGGGCGATAGCCGTGCGTCCCGATAAAGTTAAATAGTGGATTACATTCTGTGATCTATTTCAAGTTCATTCTACATCATTGCGTGTCCAGTTCTTGTGCACACTGTGGAAGCATGAAAACATCTTTTGAAAGATAAATGAATAAAATATTTTCGTACGAAAGATAGTCATACTGTCGTGGTTCATTTCAAATTACCTATAATGTGATTTTTATCTTGCGTTAATGATAGGAGCAGTCAAAATAGGCTTCTCTATTCGAATATAAATTAAGTCCTCTTAGAGGGAAGAAAAAAATGTTTCGGCACTTTTCAAAAAACAATACATAGAAAATGGTGCAGGCAGGACTCCATGCTATTATCTTTTGAATATAATGGATTTGTATCCATTACAAATCCATTACATGCTCATACCTTGATAGAAACTATGCTTGTAAAGAATGAGGTTTTTCTGCTGCTTTTATTGCTACCATGTCTTTACAGAGGCTAGAATACCGACTACCGTAAAATACCGGGCAAGCGCCCACTCATACTTCAGAGATAATCGCAAAAAAATGGGGGATGGGCACTTGTCCGGTCATCAATTTTACATATAAATGTACTATGCGTATTTTCTCAGATCTTAAAAATTTGGTAATGGGCGCTTAATGTGGAATGGGCGGATGCGCGGTATTCTATGGTAGTGTTATGAGTGGAAGCAGTTTCGATTGGCACCGACGCGATGCAAGCAGACGACAGCTCCTAGGGGCCCTAGGGGACGCTCAATCCAGGAGTCCTGCTACCGCCGCTGGCAACACTGTTCCACCAGCCGCTTATTTGTCATACGCCAAAATAAAGAATGAAACAACGGGGCATCTGGTTTTAGAGCGTGCAGGGCTTCGTCCTGCTCTCCTGGAGGGGTCAGCGGATTTGGCGGGAACGCTCGGGTTTGCGGACGAGGTTGGAAGAATGGAGGAAAAAAGGGTTACGATCACAAAGTGGAGGTACTCTGGGTGGCTCGCTAGGCTATACAAACAGGCAGGAGCCCGTACGTGTAAGCGTGTGCTAGAGAAAATGAAACAAGGACGAACAATTGGCACAAAAGGGGGACAGGAGGGACAGAGGAATATTGGGACTCCCTCCCGCGTGGCTCCGGCCCAAAGTCTCGCACCTGTGCCCCAGTGGGTCTGGTTCAAGGAGGAACACCAACGAGGTTGAGCACAGAAAAATTGGCGACTCCCTCGCCCGAAAGAGGAGGCGGAGGGCGGTGTTTAATTTTTTTTTTGCCCGATCCCCCAAAGGTTTTTTTTGGAAAGTACACTACTTGCCCAGTGATAGTCGCAGGGAGGTAAAGGAAAAATTGTAAGTATGGGAGAGGAGAAAAAAGGAAACAAATTTTTTTGAATTCAGTATTCACTATTGAGGTGCACCAGAACCCGCCCAGTATAGAGGGAACAGCCAATATCCACCCATCTCTGTGCGGCCGAGCCAGCTGAGCGCGGAGCTTCAACGAACTATAGTCGGTTACAAGTCAAGAAGGTAGCAGCAAGTGCCCCTCAAAGGGAATCTTGTATTCCTTTGCCACCAATCGCGTCCCATCGTTTACGTGACGTCCCGACCTGCGCGAACCAATCTTGTTCTTGCAAACGAATATTTCCAACATGGCTGTCGGGCAGATTTTCTACGACTCCAGCAGCTTGCAGCAATTATTCTGCTCTTTACCGCAGCCTTACACTTACTTGAGCGTATGTCGCTAAGTCGTAACCGTGTCCACTTTTATTTGCAATGCAGAGCGCAAGTTCGTCTGCTTCTTTTGCAGGGATTGCGATGACGTCAGAACGTCGAGCTCTGATTGGCTGATTTTAGATAGTGGATAGACCTCAAAGCAAGCTGCTTTGAGGTCTGCCCACCCACTATCCTTCAATCAGAGCTCAGCGTTCTAACGTCACCATGACCCCTCCAAAAGAAGCTGACGAACTTGCGATCCGCATAGGTTCTGCGCGACAGCGTGGGAATCCAGCGATGGCATTGCCATCAAAAAGTTCGCTGTGGGCACTAGGCTTACCATCATACGTCGAACACTGTTTGTTTCTTCGTTTGCCTCAGGTTGCATCTTAACGTTGTGACGGTATCGGCTTTTCTTAGCAGTGGTTTCCGTAGAGCGACGTTAAAATTCAGCGGTCGACCAAACTCTTCTTTATAAGTGTAGAGGGCTGTGCGGGATGGGCATCAATGAACCGCCAACACAGTGAGTGGCTTCACCCGATTTCGATCGTACCTTTGTAGTCTGTCTACTGAAATGTCTACATTTCAGTAGACACTCAGTCTACTGAAATGACGCCTTCGAAGCAGTATGTATGCACAGAGCAAGTCGTCTGCTTGTGCAAGAGTTGCGGTGACATCAGAAAGATGCCGAGCTTTGATTGGCTCTGATCGAAAGATAGTGGGTAGACCTCAAAGCAAGCTGCCGTGAAGTCTACCCACTATCTTTTATTCCGAACCAATCGGAGCTCAGCGTTCTGACGTCACCACGACCCTTTTAAAAGGAGCAGACAAACTTGCGGTCTGCATTCATCTGTGAAACGTCGCGTCCTTGTCAAGTTTCCGCGTCGCAATCAGCCGCACAATAATCTATGACTGCAATCTCGGATGCACCCTTGTTCGCATTAATGAGCTGTTACATTACATATGTGTCATACAAATGATAAAGCCAGTGATGCATTACAAACATTTATTTCATATTAAATGTTGAGCGACTAGCGGCGAACGCCCGGAGGTTCCAACTCCGGTCACAAATGCTTGAGGAACCAATCAATCATTTATTTTTCAAGTCAAATCCAGTACAGATAGACTTTAACGGTTCGTATGGACAAAAGGCGAACAAGCTGCCTGACGAAGTGCAGCTTGTTCGCTGCACTTTGTCACCAAGAAAGAAAGACAAGCGCTGGCGCAGTTGTGCGCCAGCGCTCGTGTCTGTCTTGTCTTTCTTTTGTCCTCGTCTAAAAAGCGCTACCATGCCTTGGGCAACCCAAGGAAAAAGATTGCCACTTTTGAACAGGAAAAGAAACTAGAAACCCAGGCGAAAATTTTCAACTGGGACCAGTTGGTCCCAGTTGCAACTGGTTTATGGAACAATTCCCAGTTGCAACTGGTCCCAGTTGGAGTCGTCCAACTGGGACCAGTTGGTCCCAGTTCCAACTGGTTTATGGTACAATTCCCAGTTGGAGTTGGTCCCAGCTGGAATTGGTCCCAGTTATAACTGGTCCCAGTTGGAGTTGGTACCAACTCTAGCAACAATGAAACACGGCACAAAATGGAAGGTTGACAAGACTTTATTGTCAAAAACTTGGAGAATGAAACTAAATAGGTTCGGTGACGTACACGCTCCGGGTCTAGCCACTTGCCTGCGACGGTTGAATCACTTTTTCAGAGGTGGTATTCATGAGATGAAGGAAGATCGGCCGCTGGCGTCTGTTAGTGAAGACGTCCTCAGCTTCTCTTCCCATCGCGTGAAGAAAGGTGCTCACCCGTGATCCTGCGTTGCGCAGGTGAAGTCCTGATAAGATGCGGTAGCGCTCCCACCTTGCAATCTCTGTCACAACAGTCGAACATTTTCGAGGTAGACCTCCCGCCATTTTCGCCATTGTGCTCTCCGCGGCGTGTTCTCTTCCGTCCGGTCCATGTGCGTCCGGTCTTTCCTGGGTGCCCTCCGATCGCTGAACTGCATCTTTCCATCCTCGAAGTTCACCGCCGCCACCTTGGTGTGTGTACAGTTAGGTCCAAAGAAGCGCAGCTGTAGTTTTGACATTTTCATAACGACGCCAACTTGGGCGATGGCGACCCTTCTCTACCGCGTCCTAGAGCACTATATAGCTCCTACGGAGCAGAGTAGCGCAATCCTTTGAACCTCGTGTTTTGCCGACAAGATGGCCGACAGAGCGGCTCGGCGCGAGTCACGTGGTACTCAGGGTTCCAAGAGGCGGCCCGCCCTATGGGAGAATACATGGAGATCGATACAGCACGGCTGATTAAAAAATGAACGGCGAGTTCACACTTTTCAAAACTAGTCTGTCGTGAAGTTAGTAAAGCACTAAACACTTTGTCAAAGTTTTAATAATATCGGATGCGTGTGCAAATTTTGAGAAGGCAATTTCCAAGGCAATGGCGTTTGAAGCAGACGATTTTTGCTCGCAGCGGAGATGGGCTTTTCGGGTTGGCCGGAGCGGGTCACGTGAATGGTGTGACGTCGCCGTGTCGTCTGCTGCATGATGCCGCTCAAGCAATTTTTAAAAAAAAGTCAGGTTCTTGCGGGTCACAAAACTTAGCGCAAATTATTCTAAAATGTTCCATTATTATGTCAAAAATGATTGCCATTCCGTATATTCCCACAATACTGAAGAAACAACGATTTTCTCACGTTCTCCATGCATTTCTGACCGCAGTTGGAACCTCCGGGCGTTCGCCGCTAGTCGCCGAGAGGCGGCGTTCTAGATTGCGCTACTCTGCTTCGAAGGAGCTATATAGTGCTCTAGTATCAGCAACGGCCAAAGAGGGCAACTAGAGCACTATATAGCTCCTACGGAGCAGAGTAGCGCAATCCTTTGAACCCAGTGTTTTGCCGACAACATGGCCGACGGAGCGGCTCGGCGCGAGTCACGTGGTACTCAGGGTTCCAGGAGGCGGCCCGCCCTATGGGAGAATACATGGAGATCGACACAACACGGCTGATAAAAAAATGAGCGGCGAGTTCACACTTTTCAAAACTAGTCTGTCGTGAAGTTAGTAAAGCACTAAACACTTTATCAAAGTTTTAATGATATCGGATGCGTGTGTAAATTTTGAGAAGGCAATTTCCAAGGCAATGGCGTTTGAAGCAGACGATTTTTGCTCGCAGCGGAGATGGGCTTTTCGGATTGGCCGGAGCGGGTCACGTGAATGGTGTGACGTCGCCGTGTCGTCTGCTGCATGATGCCGTTCAGGCAATTTTTTTAAAAAAGTTACGTCCTTGCGTGGCACAAAACTTAGCGCAAAGTATTCTAAAATGTTCCATTATTATGTCAAAAACAATTTCCATTGCGTAAATCCCCACAGTACTGAAGAAACAACGATTTTCTCACGTTCTCCATGCATTTCTGACCGCAGTTGGAACCTCCGGGCGTTCGCCGCTAGTCGCCGAGAGGCGGCGTTCTAG